TGCACTCCTATCAGACCCAGTTGGCAACGGAATGGTAGAAGCAGATCGTGCAGACTGCTGCCCCTGAAACTGAAATGAACCACTCTTGTTCCTCTTCCAAGAAGATCCCTCTGAAGATGGTCCTACACCCCTCTTTTGCTTCAACTACTCTTTTCTTGCATCCTTCTCTTTATTATCAGCCTCCAGCATCAAAGCCCTTTCCACTGCTTTAGAATAAATCTTAATGAACTGTGCCGTGATCAACTGCCTCATCCGATCGTTAAGACCAGAAACAAACTTCCGAGTCTTGTTAACTTCATTTCTCACCATTTCTGGAGCAAAGCGAGAAAGTGAAGTGAACTTGTTCTCATATTCCGCCACTGACATGCTCCCTTGAATAAGGTTATGAAACTAGTCTTGTAACTCCCATCTTTTGGAAAGCAGAAAGTACTTTTCATAAAACAATTCCTTGAACTTATCCCAACTCATCTCCTCCACCTTGTACTGGCTCATAACCGACTTCCACCATAATTTGGCATCCTTAGCAAACTTATAAGTAGCTAGGATGATCTTCAAATGATCCTTCATCACATCCATTGAAATCAATTGAGTTTCAACTTGCTCCATGTAGTCATCTTCTATCATTGCATCCGCACCGCCCTCAAACATAACCGGCATCAGTTGAGAAAACCCCTTAATAAACTTGAGACGCTTCTGAGCTGGCGTCTTCTCAACTTGAACTGTAGGTTATGGTGCCGACCGCGACTGAGCAACAATCATTGCCCTCACGGCATTTTGCAATAAACGATTCAACTCCAGTGCCACAGAACCTTCACCCACTTCTACGGGTGCTTCAACATTATCCCTCCTTGTGGGGACAACTCTCGGGGGAATCAAATCCCTAAGAAGTGTGTCCTCATCATTTAGCTCCTCTGGATTGGAGTTGGAGCTCTCACCAACATCACCCCTAGTCGGCCTGGAGCCAACTTCCCTTTGTTCCTCACGCCGTGACATCGTGCTACAAAACGAGAAAACGGTTCAATGACATAACACTAAAGTCTACTATAGACGACTCAACGTGAAATGATGTCGTAATGACACTTAGCATGCAAAACCATGCAAGATACATTTCACCATAAACATTTAAGCACATAAGCAGTTAAGCATGCTTGTTCAAGTAATAAGCAAGTAGCAAATAGTCAATATACAATGAAATTAACATCCCACGCAATCCTATGTAGGCCTCTACCCGTCGTCCTAATGGTTTTCGAACCATGTGCTCTGATCCCAAATTTGTAACGACCCAAGCTAATGCCAAAATTTAAAAAAAAAATTCAGCATAACCTCCCCTAAAAATGGTCCTTCAACAACCTGTCCTAATACATAAAACACATAATATACTCCAGCATCCCATTCATCCGTTCATTATACCTCAACACAGTTCCTCTTATGATGGAACATCCACACACCAGTTAATCTAAATTATCATAATTACAGTCCCAAAATACATGGTTAAGATTTAAAGTCCCTGTCTTACAACATTACATGATACAATTGCATGGAAATATATACCATAATTCCATTAGTTTCATTTACATCAAACAAAAGATAAGTTCGTTCTTAAGTTACAAGGCCATGAATACTAACTTAGTTACATTTCCACAACTATGAATATACATAGCATGGTCAAAATACAAAATAGCAAACAACCTTCTAACAACTTTCAAACTTGAGGTGGATTGTCGTCCACCGGTTCATTTCCAAGACCTGAAAAAAAATAATATAAATAGTAGGGTGAGCATAAAGCTCAGCAGGTGACACTTAAGACACACATCTTGTGTCCTTGTGAATCTAAACAAAGCATAGGCCAATGGAAAATGGGGATCATACAATGTCGGAAAATAATACAGCATAACGATTTAATCTCAAGTATATCCAATGCAATGCAATGAGATGCAATGCATGCTAGTGTCGTTCCCCATTTTCATAATCCAAAACATCGTTTCTAAACTGTTAATACAGCCCGCCCTTTGGTAGCCCCGCCGCGACACGAGAGAAGGATTGGCTAGTGTCCCTGACCCTTGGTAACCCCGCGGCGTCATTATGGGGCCCAGCTAGCTCAACCACACTAAGACGACTCCCTAGTCCCCTCTAGGCTATATTAACCTCCGGCCCGTTGGTAACCCCGCAGCGACCAGGTTTCACATAAAACCATTTCATCAAAAACACTTCCCTGAAATTCCCCATATTTATTTCAAGAACAATTTCCCCCATTTCATGCAAACCCAATGGTATGTGCATGTATATATGTTCCATACATTCAATGTCATGACATTTAAAATTCTACACTATAAAATTAAATATTCAACATGTTCAACATCTTCCAAGTAATTATTAACACATTAAGATACAACAAAATACATTTAAATATGCTTTACACATAAAACAACTCACATTCATACATATGAATTTCTCTAGAAAATATTTAAAATAATCATTGATACAATTAACTTCTAATTAAGCATGCTTGGCACAACAAAGGAGTATAACTCACAATGGAACAAGAAGGTAGTGGATTAAGGTGTCCCTACCTCAAATTTGCACAAAACCCTTAAAATGGGTCTTGAATTTCAAACTCCAAGGAGGGCACCAAATCTGGAATTGTTCGTATGGATGTGTAGAGCTCGTAGTGGGCTTCGTTTTGCCTCAAACAGCACCTTAATCCGCCAAGAATTGAGAAAGAAATCAAGATTTGAAGTTGGAAAAGAAAAAGAAAAAAAAAATACAGAGGCAGCGAGAGAGAGTGACTAAAGCTGGCTGAGAGAGAGCAGATTGAAAAATAAATGGGTCTGTAATAACCCTTATATCACAGGTGAGCCCCACAGTGGAAAAAAGTCATTGTTTACTAATTATATATATATATATATATATATATATATATATATATATATATATATTGATAAACATTACATGCTGAGATAGCAAGAAGGTTGTCAGAAGTAAGGAGATCCGAGCAAGAGGGAATGCTGGTCAGAACGTACTGCTTCAAATAGTTATCCCTATCCCTACAAACATCGTAGCTCAAATCATCACAAGGAACGGCATAAGAAAGTACAAAAGCGAGGAACGCAAATCTCGCAAGAACAGTCACTCTTATGGGTTTTGTATTTTTTATATGAAGAGACAGAGCACTCTCCAAAAGCGCTCGGGATAGGGAAATCCTCTACGGCTGGAGAAAACCAGGCTCCCCTAACCCCAATTATATTTTTCCTCTAACCCTTCTCATATTTGATTTTTTCTTTGCAGATGGACCTCTTCTCAATTGGGTAGAAGTGGTAAAACGGTTCATCAGTTCAAATTTTGCTAACCTTGTAACAGAGGAGAAGATCTACGAGGTCCAGATCTAGACCTCTATCACGGTTCAGAAACAACATAACAGATAAAACCCTAAGGAAATTTGGGTTTACTTGCAAAGGGGAAAGTTTCAGTTTATTAAAAACATAGTTAAAGAAGGGATGTAGAGGGAACCTAAGGAGGTTAAGATGAATGTGGGAAAATAGAACCTCGCTGGGAAGAAGACCAGCACCAGTTCTAATATCCACTTCTTTAGGGCAATTTCTAATTTGTATATCGTCAGGAAGGTGAAGTCTCATGCGAAGAATATCTAGATCTATAGTCATAGTGAGAATGAATGAAGATTTTAAGGGAGAAAAAGAGGTCTTCCGAAAGAAAAAGGCAAACAAAACTAGCCTCAGAGAGTGAAAACGTCAAAGAGTATTGCAAAGTCGCTAGAAAAAGGAGCTTTTGCAAGAAATTGCCAGAGAAGATTTGAACAACAGTAAAGTAAGATGGAGACGGTAAAGAGAATTGATGGAACATCTATGAGGCTTATAAAGACAAGGTGGGCCCGAAGGCCGAGGAGTTAGGAAAGCGAGGAGTTTTTTGAATCTCGAAGCACCGACCCCCAAATCTAACCGTCCATTCTTCCATGCGATCTTCTCGAGCTGTCAAGTCATCATTAGCAGCCTCTAATAATTACCCCCTAATTATTAGGGAGTAATTATGGGGGCAGTTGAGGATACAAGAAGTGATATGGGCCGGTTATAACCCGCGGACGTGGCATCGGGGCAAACAATTGAAATACAGTCCATACAAGAGCACCACAGAATGGGCCGAGCTCAGAGGATCCACTGAAGAAGACCAAGCCCATCGGAAAGAAGGCCCAAAACTGATAGTCCAGCAGCACTTGTAATTGCCTATAAAAGGGCAGTGAAGAGAGTGAAAGAGGAGGAGATTTATTTTTAATTGAAAATGTAACGAGATTCTGTCAAAATAGAGAGAAAAAATTATTTGCATCTTCAGTTGTATATATAACTCTTACATATACCCTTTTTCAACACTCTTATATAACTTGTTGAAAATGCAAAGCACGATGTTTGTTCCTATGAACATGGAATACCAACAATTTTCTATACTTCTGTAATGTTTTGAACAATTGTAATCACACATTTTTTTTCTTTTTAATACTCCTCGTTACTATATATATCACTAGACACTAACACTTTTTTATCTAGACAAACCATAAATATATAGTTTATAAATTCGTATATGTCAAAATTATCTTATATGTACTTCAGTTAGGCCGTTATAATAATAGAATACTCCTAAGTTCCTAACAGAATAGATTACTGTTTTAAAATTTGAATTTCCTAACAATTGCCTAACTCATTTAGGATATTATTGTTAATTATATTATCGTCAACTTATATAAGGTCAAGACTGTCAAGTAATCAAAATAACAAATTATCTTAAATAATGATCTTATTAGAGATTTATGCTTATCTTATTGTTAACAACCAATTATCTACTTAATTATAAATAGCACTGCAGGCTGCAGCTTAAGTCACTACTTCATTTCTGTCTTACCATTTCTACCCTTTCTTGTCACAGTGATGGACACTCGTAGTAAAATTTTGCTTTTTAGTATTGTTTTCTTGCTTTGTTGTCTGCCGTGTATTGCCATGGAAGTCTCATATAACAATAGATCACTTAAGATCGATGGGGAAGGGAAAATCATTATTTCTGGGGCTATTCATTATCCTCGTAGTACTGCTGAAGTAAGTGCATGTCTAGATAGTTAATTAAAATTGTGTTTTCATATATATACACATTTGTTTTTAATGCATGAATATATATATATATATATATATATATATATATATATATATTCAATTTTATGCATGATCATATTCACATTTTTTTATGCATAGATTATATTATTTTGGCTGCACATAAGATTTTATGGTGGCAAAAACTAGATTCTATATTTTCTTTTCTTTTTTAACTGCACATTTGGTGTCAACAGCCTCAAAAAATTGTAAAGTGGACTCATTAAATGAAAATTACTTCAAAAGAACGAAAGTTCATCAAACTATTGTTAACACTATGGATGATATTAAATGGATGAGTGATACCATGATAAAATCTAGTATATATTACTTATGTTTTATTTTTATTTTTTTCTAATCATTTTGATGCATCTTAACTTTGAATTTTCTGTTTTTTTTATTTTAAAGATTGTACTTGAATAGTGAATAATTTATTCTATTGTTTTCAGATGTGGCCATCCTTGATGCAGAAGGCAAAGGATGGAGGTCTTAATGCCATTGAGACCTATGTCTTCTGGAATGCCCACGAGCCTAGCTACAGAGAGGTTCTCTCTTATATTTCTAATAGAGCAATGATTGTCCTTTTTATTTGAAAAATATGTATAACATTCTAATTATTTGACATTTTAATTTATACAGTATGATTTTTCGGGCAATCTAGACCTTGTTAGGTTCCTCACAACCGTCAGAGATGCAGGGCTTTATGCCATTCTCCGAATTGGACCATATGTTTGTGCAGAATGGAATTATGGGTAAAAATCTTAATATATATACACACACACACACTCTAAAATCATGTATATTCATTTAATATGATAATCTTGTTAGTAATCATAAATAACTTTTATGTGTTGCAGTGGTTTTCCGGTATGGTTGCATAACCTTAAACCAAACATAACATTGAGGACTACAGATGATACATACATGGTAAATTTACAAATTTACTCTGTAAAGATTTCATTTCTTACTCTCTAACTAATTATATTTATATTTTCATATTTAGGACGAGATGAAGACTTTTACTACTAAGATCGTTGATATGGTTAAACAAGCAAATATGTTTGCTCCTCAAGGAGGACATATAATCCTTGCACAGGTTTGAAACTTTATTATTTTTTTTCCCGTTTATATTTCTATATTTTTAATTACTATTAAAATTTTATAGTTTGTGTTACCTTTCAAAAAATAAAAAGTTTATACCTTTTGGTTTCCCTTTTTTTAAAATAGATTGAGAATGAGTTTGGAAATATAATGAGCGACTTTGGAGATGAAGGAAAAGAGTATATCAATGCGTGTGCTGACTTTGCTAATTCTCTCGACATTGGTGTACCATGGATAATGTGCCAACAACAGGATGCTCCATCACCAATGGTATACACACGCACGCACACAGTTATATATACATATTTATATATATATGAGTTTCTACAATTAATTCTTATTTATATCTATCTTATTTGGTGATGGTTTTAACTGCAATATATATATATATATATAATATATTTGTCTTCAGATTGAAACATGCAATGGTTTTTACTGTGATGCATACAGTCCTAAAAAAAATGATTTACCTAAGTTCTGGACGGAGAATTGGACTGGCTGGTTAGTTCTAGTAATTTATTTAATTTCAATTTTTGTGTCTCTGTATATATTTTATGTATCTTTTTGTATTGAAAATGAAATTAGGTTCAAGGCATGGGGTGACAGACAACCATATAGAACTGCTGAAGATGTTTCCTTTGCGGTTGCTCGTTTCTTCCAATATGGTGGCAGCTTGCAAAACTATTACATGGTTTGTCGTCAAATTCATCTTGCATTATTTCCAATATATTATTTATTTGCCGAATTAAAAAATTGTTTGTTATATTAATATGTTTTGTTATGATTGCAGTATCATGGTGGTACTAATTTTGGTAGGACAACTGGTGGTCCATATATTACCACATCATATGATTATGATGCTCCACTTGACGAATATGGTAAACAAATTTAAGATATGTTCATTTTATAAAAAATTAGGACACTTATCAATATATATATATATATATATATATATATATATATAATATTTTATTTAATATATTATTAGGTAATGTGAATCAACCCAAGTGGGGGCATCTCAAACAACTGCACGAGCTCCTCATAGCAGCAGAGAAAATTCTCACTAATGGTGTAAGGAGAGATATTGACTATGGTGATATGATGGGAGTAAGAATTTTTTTTTTTTTTTTTTTTTTTTTTTTTTTTTTTTTGCATCTTTTATAATTGTCAGTAACTGGAGGACTGAATAATCTAAAGTACCCAACTTTTTATTTTTCAACTTTTAGGTATCAGTTTACGAGTTCAGTGGGCAGAGGTTTTGTTTCTTTGGAAATGCAAATAACCAAGATGAACAAACCTTTTCATTTGAAGGCAACAATTTTACTATTCCAGCTTGGTCTGTTAGTATCCTTCCTGATTGCTTTATAGAAGTTTTCAACACTGCTAAGGTACGTAATTATTTGTCTTTTAGAATGTTTTTAATTTGTATATATATATATATACACACACACAACTAATTAAGAATAAACATTTTTAAGATTGATCATGAACAATATGATCTGTTGAATGAATTTTTTGTAGGTTAATACTCAAAAATCTATAATGGTTAAGAGGCCAAATGAAGCTGATCAAGGAGAAGAACCCTTCAACTTGCAATGGACATGGCTTCCGGAGTACGTTGAGAAAATTAAGAAGCCAATGGCCCATTCTTTGAAGACGAAGGGTACTAAGTATGTTAATAAGCTCTTAGAACAAAAGGCGGCAACGAATGATACTAGTGATTATTTGTGGTACTTGACTAGGTAATTGCTGCTTTGTTTAGTTTTAACATTCATATTTTTTTATGTTGATTATATAGTTTTATCATTCATATTTTTCCTTTTAGTGTCAACATTAATGGCAGTGACAAGGTCTGGAATAAGGAGATTACCTTACAAGTTAATACTCAAGGCCATGTGCTTCATGCCTTTGTAAATGGACAACATATTGGTAATCTAATATTTGTTCGAAGTATTTTTGGGCTCTTCCTATTTTATTTTATTTTTATATTTATTTTAATTTTGTAAGAAATCAATTTCAGGATCTCAATGGGGAAAAGGTGGAAAATACGACTTCCAGTTTGAGAAAAATATTACATTGACAGCCGGAAACAACTCAATATCTTTGCTCAGTGTCACTGTTGGCCTAAAAGTAAGACTGAAACATATATATATATATATATATATAGCACATTCTTGTTCTTAATTATCCAGATTCTAATGTTTTTTCTCATGGTTTTCTCTTGTGACCAGAATTATGGTGCTTACTTCGACAAAACAGAAGTTGGGGTGGTTGGCCCAGTTAAATTGATTTCTTCAAACGACACGATGGACTTGTCTAACAATTCTTGGGCACACAAGGTTGGATTGCATGGTGAGGTTAATGAATTTTACCAAGTCGAAAAAAGCAACCACTTAACTTGGAATGCAGAAAATCTTCCAACAAATAGGATGTTCACTTGGTACAAGGTGATTCAATTAAACCATCTTGTTGATTTTACATTTACAGTATTAAAATCTTATTATATAATGTTTCAAAAAAAAATATATATATATGTATGTATATTTGCAGACAACATTTCAATCTCCCCCAGGGGAAGAGCCTGTTGTTTTGGACTTGATGGGATTGGGTAAAGGAATTGCGTGGGTGAATGGCAATAATATTGGCCGATTCTGGCCTAGTTTCAACTCTGATAACAATGGATGTAGTCCAACATGTGACTACCGTGGAAGCTACGACAGTGGTAAATGCGTGGGCAACTGTGGAAAACCTTCTCAAAGATGGTAACAAATTCTTCTATCTTTCATTGTGATCCTATATATTTAATTTTTGTTTCAAATTTAACTATATGTATATATATTTGACATTGTTTTACTAGGTACCACGTGCCACGCTCATACCTCCGAAATGATGGAAACACATTGATTTTATTTGAGGAGATTGGTGGCAACCCTTCGAGTGTAACTGTTAATACTGTCGCGGTTGGATCAGTTTGTGGAAATGCATTTGAAGGAAGCACCTTGGAACTGTCTTGCCAAGGAGTAAGAGTAATTTCTGATATCAAATTTGCTAGCTTTGGTGATCCTATAGGCACCTGTGGATCATTTGCAACCGGCACCTGCCAGTCACCAAACAGCAAAGATGTCCTCATAAAGGTAAGGAAACTCCTTTTTTGATGCCACAGTTTAATTTGTCGATTAGGTTTTCTCACTAATGCTCTCTCTCTAAATGCAGAATTGTCTGGGGAAACAGAGTTGTTCGATTAATGTAACCGAATGGACTTTTGAGCCTAGTGGTTGCCAAATTTTCCCGAAAAGACTTGCTGTTGAAGCCATCTGTTAGAATTTTTTTTTTTATTTTTTATTTTAGGTTTTCTTGTAGTAGTGCCGGCCATTCTCAGTTGCATAAATTTTAGTTGATTTTTGTTCATGCGGTATTTGTGGTTTTCCATGAGTTGGAATTCTTGTAATAAGCAGTTAATTAGTCAATCAAGAAAGTTTGATTCCTTTTAACAATTACCCTTTTCTTTTACTCTCTGCATTTGTGGAGTTACTGCTTGATTTGAGAATCATTTAGTTTCAAATAGACAAAGCGCGCATCTCTTCAAAACAAAGTAGCTTAGCTCACCTTTTTGGTTAATTATACACTATAAAGATCATTTACTAGTGAGTGTGACCTCCTTTAAATGCCAACTTTGATCGTTAGGATAACTAGATATATTGAAAAGTGCAGCAAGTGAATAAGTCATAACATACATTTCAGCCATATGAACTATATATATGAGGCAATCAATTGAAAAAGGAGAAAATAAACCATTTATAATATGAATATTTTTTCTTAACCAATATTTGATATTCCAATTTCTCAACCAAATTCAACTCCTATGATTTATTCTTTTGTGACAACTTCAGTTTCTTCGATCAATATCTTTTTTTTCTTTTTTTCTTTCTCAATTTCATCTTTGAATATTTTTTCTTCATCAACATCAACTCCTTCTATTCCTTCTTTCTAAAATTCCACTGTCACCATTTCCTCATCTTTCATCTTTTCGTTTTTTTCATCAAATTCTCTATTCATATATTCAACCTTTTCAAAATCAACTTTTTCACCTATCTCATAAAAAATTTCTTCATTTTCATCTTCAAAAAATCCATCTTTATCATAATTTGGAACCCAATATTCTATGGAAAATGTATAGACCTTATAAGACATAAATTATTTATGAGATAGATCATCTTTTTCATCTATCTCATCAATAAAGTATGAAGATATAAATTCAAGCTTTTGTCATACCTAGAGATTTCAAATTTTCAGCATACTTCCAAAATTCTCATGAAATGCATTCTTCAATATCTTCAGCACGTGATCTTCTTTCTTTTCATGAATTTTCTTTGGCTGAGAACACTACGAAATTTTGATGGTATGATACCAAAAATCACATGCTTTAAGATAAACCAAAATTATATTGCTCCAGTAGGCATAATTTGAGACAATCAATTTTTCATTCATTTTTTGGTGCAACAATTGCTAGTTAACAACCCGTTCTTTGAATTTTCTTACATCACCTACTCTTTGAATTAGTGTTTCAACTAGCCATATACTATTTTGTTTCAGGCTCCAAGATCATTCCAACTCTCAGACTTTCAGACTCATAGAATCATTGAGACTCTGATACCGGAGGCACTCAATCAAAAAAAAGGAGAGAACACAATTTATAATATAAATTCTCAAACTTTGATATAGTTTTCCTTTCACTTCTTTCTCATTTATTTCTTGCACTCCTTTTATTTTTATTTTTTTTTACTTCTTGATTACAATAGGATTCATGCACATGTATATATAGGTAGACAATTCTAGAATTACACAAATTACATTCATCTTTTCTACACATTTTTTATGTTCCCTACAAGTTTGGTCTAGTCTTCCAACAATCTTAATAAAATAAAATAATAATAATGTTGAAAATAAGATTTATTGAAGTTAAAGATATGAAGGGTAATAGGGAACAGAGGGATACAACACACAACACCAATATTGGAGGTATCTTTTAATTGATATTCTCTTTGAAGAACTACACAGATAAATACATACAATTTACAGCAGCTCCAGTCTTCTGAGTCCGCCAAAAAGAATGGAAAGGAAAATGAAAAATTAGTCTTGGGGCAGAGCCAATCAAGCTCATTACCAGTGATCTTGGCACGAGCACTGACCATTCACGAAACAGTGAAAACCCGAACTATCCCTCACATGTATCTCCCTTTTAGTTACAACTGAAACATACTTCAAAAATGTATGGCAGTCCCCACAGAGAATGATGTTCTTCACAACACGAATGGGTTTCCCTGGCCTTGTCATCAGAAGCCCATAGGTAACAGCTAGTTTGGCACTATGATAGAACAAAAATTCCTTCTTCTGATGCTCCTCTACTTCATGAAGCACAAAGCTCGTGTCAGGCACATATCCAGCTTTTAGGCTTTCCAAGATAAGTATTTCTAAACCACTATGTATGTCTTTGGATTGAGGATGTGATTTATCCCTTGCATAGAATGAATGAACCTTGTTTTGATTAATGATCCAACTTCGACCAGGGAATTTACGGAACCCCTTCTCCCTCATCTCCTCTCTGACCATTTCAGAGCAATGCCATCTTCCCGATGCAGAATACAGATTTGACACAAGAACATATGTAGATGGTTCTTGTGGCTGCATAGCAAGTATTTGCTTTGCCACCCGTTTCCCATGGGTTGTATGCAAATGGGTTCGACAAGTATCAAGCAAAGCTCGCCAAACAGAAGCCTGTGGCTCAAAAGGCATGTTCTTGATAATTTCCTCTGCTTCTTCGACCAGACCCCAGTAACCCAAGACACCAACCAAGCAGGCATAATGCTCTGAAGTTGGCTCTATGTTATATGTGGTTTTCATTGAACAAAACAATCTATGGCAATTATCAACTAAATTTGAGTTAGTGTGTCTATAAGCTGAAATAACTAAGACAAATGTAACTGAATCCGGCTGTATACCTGCCTTTTCCATCTTCGACCACACAGCCAAGGCCTCATCACCCTGCCTGTAGAGGAGATGGCCAGCCACCAAGCTGTTCCATGAAACTAAATCATGTGTTGGCATTATACTGAAGACCTTAATTGCATCTTTTATATTCCCACACTTGGAATACATGCTAATTAATGCATTTCCCACCCCAATATCAGACAGAAGACCAGATTTAAGAGCTTGGCAGTGGAGTTGCTCTCCCATCACATGAAACCCTAAAGTTCCACAGACACCAAATACAGCAGCTAATGCAACTTCATCGACAACCATTGTTTCTTCTGATTGCATCAGGCAGAAAAGAGAAATTGCCTCAACTGGCTGCCCATTTCGAGCATACCCACATATCAGTGATGTAAATATTATTGAACTCTTTTGACTGAATGGCAACTTAAGGAACATTTTCACTGCATCGGCCATTCTTCTACACCTAGTGCACATATCAAGCAACGCTGCTTCAATACAATCATTTGATCTAAAACCAAACTTGAGAACAAAGGCATGGATCTGTTCGCTGATCTTCGTATCTGCAAGCAACCCACAAGCATTAAGAACACTGGTCAAAGAGAAATCTGTTAACTCTACGCCCTCCTCCACCATTCTGCAAAACAAACCCAGAGCCCTTAAGTCTTTTCCATTTTGACAATATCCCGCTAAAAGAGCATTATAGGAAACACAGTTCTTCTGCGGCATCCTATCAAAAATATCTGCAGCCAAATCAACTAATCCAAATTCCATGTATGCCGTGACCATCTCAGTCCAAGTAATCACATCTTTTACAGGCATCCTCTCAAACAAAGTCACCACATCTTTTACACTCCCGCACTTTGTATAGAATCCAATAAGAGCATTATTAACACTCAAATTGGACTCAAACCCAGTTTTGAGTGCATGAGCATGAATCTCTCGGCCTCTCATTAAAGCAAGACCCCTTGTGGAGGCATTCAGAAGGGTCGAAACCATGAATCGGTCAACTCTGAATCCATCAATTCTTTGCATATCTTGAAACAACTCAAAAGCTGAATCATACATCAACTCCTTCACCATCGCTGCAGTCACTGTATTCCACGATGCAATGTCTCTTTGAGGAATTTCGTCAAACAAGTCGAGCACAAAATGCAAACACCCACTATTGCTATACACACCCAAAAGTGCATTTGAAACAAAGATGCAATTCAAGTAACCCATTTTGATCACCAGAGAATGGACTTGAGAACCTAATTCTAACTCCAAAAGCCGATTACAAGCAGTTAATATAGCAACAAAACTATACTCGTTTGGTTCAATACCTGCATTCCTCATTTCAAAGAAAAGTTCGACGGCTTCATATTCTCGATTCGACTTTGCAAAACCCGAAATCATTGCGGCATAAGACACAACATTTGGGGATGAAAGCCCTGCAAAAACTTTTTGAGCGTGCGTTGTAAGACCAAGCTTAAGGTAAGCCACAATAACAGCATTGAGCAGTTGTGTGTCTTCATCAAGCTTCAGAACCGAGGCGTGGACCGCCATAGCGAGTTCAATGTCACTATAACGAACTGATAGATGGAGCAAATTGAAATAGTCATTAGTGGGTTTATCACTATTGCTTGAAGAATTAGGATCTTGAGAGTTTGGAGGGAAAAGGGGTTGAAGGTGTGGTGGTTTAGAGAGAGAAAGTTGTGGGTTTGGGAGGAATTGGGTTGGGGAGAAGGGGATGAGGTGGGGTTTGGGATTAGAGAGAGAAAATACGGTTTTAGATAGAGAAAGAGATGATGGTGGTAGTGCTGTTTTTGCTGAGTAATGAAGGAATGAGTGACAGTGGAGGGAGTTTGGAGGTACAGAAGGAGAGAGAATGGATTGAGGGAGGGAGGAGAGATAATTGGGGATGGGGATGGTGGCTGCCATGAAAGAGAAAAGGCGCCAAACATAACCTCCGTTCTTTCACCGGTACTTCGATTTATATACTCTTCGAGGAGCACAGTAAGCAAACTCTGAGCTTCCTAAAAAACAAAAAGAGTAAGCAAGCCCTTGCACACGACTCTAGTCTTAACCAAAGGCAAACAATGGTGCAAAAAAGCCCAATTTGACGGCTGGGTCTAAATTTATATTCTCCGTGTTAGGCATTGTAATGCCTAGGTCTAAATGTTAAGTGGGGCTTTTGAAATTTATAAGCGAAATATATATATAATAATAATAATAATAATTTATTTATTGTTTAAAAAAGAGTTTTCGATCTGTGATTAACTAGTGTGAGCTAAAAAAAATAAAAAATACTGAGTAATCCTTTTTACGGTTTTAGCTTAAGAAATGGTGCTTCAATTGTGCATGCAGTTGATGTGAGTGTCCCTGAATTGCAAGTTCCAATAAAATACAATGAACTCATCAATAAAAAATTATTTTAAAGTCAAAAAAAGTGAAAGGAGCTAAATTTTTTTAGACCAAATCAATTCAACTTATCAATAATAAAAAAAAAAAAGGGTTGCAACACATATGCACACTACTGTGTTGTATAAGGCAAAGTTTAGTGGACAAGTGTTACTCGGGCAAAGCCGTGTACCACGTTTCGGTGCGAGGACGGCATTCATGCTTGTTGGTAGGCAGAAACACTTCACTAATATAGCTTCAGGAAAGGGGTGCGAGGTCTCACACAATGGCATGTGGTCATCAATTACACAAATTGGTCGGGAACTGAAGCCGTTCCCCTGATTAAGGGCTAAGGCAGACCGAAATCAGTTAGTATATAGCCTTGATGTGGAGGTCGTGTAGGTTGAACCCTGCGAGGGGTATCGCACAGACCGTCCCGCTGCACACAAAACTTGAGGCTAGTGACAATAAGTTAATAGTGATAAATCACATTTCTTATCTATAAAGTTTATGCAAAATTGGTGGGGGTGTGAATGAGGAGAATTCAAGTCTTGTAGGGGCCAACGCTTAAGTTTTCAACAAAATAAAAAATAAGTAACTCTAACAAAAAAAAAAATTAGGGAGGAGGGACTTGATCACCGGCACACCAACCGAGGGAGTTGGATTTCTAATTTAATTAATTAACTTTCTTATTTATTTTTATTTTATAATTTTTAGAGGGATTTTAATTTTAGGTAATTTTTTAAAATAATTTTTAGTTTCTTTTTATTATTAAGTTACCTTATATTCTTTATTCTCCTTTAAGAATTAGTTCCTTAATAGGATTAGAGTTTCTCTATTATAAAATGTATCTAATGTAATAAAAGATTTTAACCTTTTATAAAAAATATTTCAGAATTCATTGTGAAAAGACTCTAACCCAGACAATCTATTATGCCCATGAACAAATATAGTGCTTACTTAAAAAACTAAAAAAAAAAAAAAGGGATCAAGCCTAGATTTGTAGCCCCTAGAACCGGATAATAAAACAGTTTGTATTTCGAGCTGAAACAACTCGCTGACAAAAATGAGATTGATATATCCACGTTTATTAGTTGTTGTTCCATACGTGAATACCAAATGTCTACTACACGCAAGCTTTCACCAGAAAAAGCAGTTCTAAGCGATCAGAACTAGATCGAGAGCCACTGTTGGGATCTTCGTCGTGTTCCATGGGCGAACCTCGAAAATACCAGGTCTATTTCCCTCTCTCTCTCTCTCTCTATATATATATATATATATATATATTGGCGTCAATCATATCAAGTTTAACATTAGATTTTTGTGAAATTCGTCGAACAAATTAACATAATTCCCGTCTCAATTATGCTAATAGTCATGCAACCTAGTTGTTAAAAATATGAATTTGTTTCATGTACTCATATTCTGAATTTGTTAACTAGATTTTGAATTATCTATTTTGCTTTTATTTACGAGATTAAAAGCTTTCATATCAAATTGCCTTTAATTTTGATTATTTAGTGTAATTGATGGGGTTGGTTGGTTAGGTGTCGTTGCGCGGAGCGAGCACGAAGGAGATTTCAAGGGATGCTCTTCTTGAGAAGGTCTCCCAAGAAAGGGAGCTTCGAAATTACACAAGACGTGCCACAGCAGCTGCACTCTTTATACAGGTGAATTATATGTACAATTCATGAATGATTCGGATTCGTGTCGTTTTAGCTACGTGAAATATAGATGTACAAAATTTCTTCTGTTTGTTGTCATTATATATGATCACACAGAAACTCTACTGTCTGTGGTGCTCAGTTTGACGGAGTCATTCATACTACTATACAAGTAGAATGTGCAAAATAATAGCGGTCTAATTGTAGTGTTCAGATGTCCACTCCTTTTATAAACTATTGAATGGAAAAGCACTGGGGCAAAACATTTAAATTTCTACATGAAGACCAAGTGGGTAATCATAAAAACCAAAAGAACCATTTCCATCCACTGTCAAATTGTTAAGATTAGTGTTGCTACCATTTCTTTTCTTTTTGTTTTTCTTGGAAATCTCAACTAGCAATGTCACGAGTAATAATTCTAAGTTCTAACATAGATAATCAGTATATAATTCTTTTTCTTTTTCTTTTTCTTTTTTTTTTTAAGTAGCTTATCAGTACATAATTCTCACTTAATCCTGTTCATGTTTTATTAACGTCCATAGAAAATTAAAAAGCTTCCAGCAGTGGAATTTTTGGCTGAAACTTCTTGAACACTCCTAGCAACATGTGCCTGAAATATATAATTTAAAAATAAAATTCATAAACTCTGGCCTTTTGGACAATATTTCTTAGACAGTTTCAACTTTTGTAGCAATGCAACACAAAATATACTAGATGAACTCCTCCATTTAACTCATCTAACCTTGATTCTATGATTAACATTATCTCCAAAGTCTCCTTCATTGTGAACAATTGAGCCTAAATTGTAAAATGTTCACTTTTTGGTATCTCTTCATCCTTAACCCTCACTACATCCATATTTGTATTTCTAGATTTTCTAAAGTTACACTCCATATATTCAATTGCTATTATCTCAAGTCCTTCCGTCCAAACCTCTAATTTAGCATTTATCCCTTCTCTAGATTCATCAATTAAAAAAAATATCATCAACAAATAATACATACCATGGAATCTTGTACTGCACATGTATCGTTAGTTCATCCATAATTTAGGTAAAAGATATGGGTTTACCACTAACCCTTGATGTAAGGTTACAGCAATTAGAAATTCACTTTTTTTTTTTTTTCCTTCTCCCCATGATCATTCAAATTATAATCACACTTCCATCATACACGTCCGTTATTATGTCAATGTGTCTTTTTTTGACTTTTTTTTTTTTTTTTTTCTAAAACCCCCCATATTAAATCTCTAGATACCCTATCATAGGTTTTCTCTAATCAATAAAATTTGTATGAATATTTTTGTTTTCCTTTTTACTCCGTATTTATTTCCATTAGTCTTCTCAATGAGTAAATATTCTTCATCGTTGACCTCCGTGGCATAAATTCAATTTGATTTTTTGACACTTTTGTTTCCTGTCTCTCCTAAAGTTTCATAGTAAGACTTATAATTTTAATACCATGATAATTAGTACAATTTGAGTATCCCCTTTATTTTTATATATTGGTACTAAAATACTTTTGCTCAGCTCATTAGGTATTATCTTAGTTATTATATTATTAAACAATTTAGTTATCCAAGATACACTATCATATACACTCCCAAGATACACCATCATATACACTCCCAATTTAGACTGCTTGACTGTAAGAAATAAAAGAATTCTCCATTTTTGCATGGAAATCAGTCAGCATTGCTTACTTCTCCAGAGCTGCCTTCTCGAAATGGATTTTAACTTGTATGTCTGCAAGCTTGGTTTTGTACACGAGGTGTCATTATTTCTGTTGGACATAATACTGTCCTAGCCAGAATAAAAATGGCTTATAGAGCTGGAGTCAATTACTTACTCCAGCTTTTCTACCGATGCTCATGGACATGGATTTTAGTAGGATTCTGCTAACAAGGTATTATCAGGGTGATGTATGATAAAGGATTGAGGTTAAACAATAACTGCATCATTATATTTTGTTCTTACTGGCATCTTAAAGTGAACCGTAATCAAAATTGTTTGGCGTTGTTATTATGGGAACCAAATTAAAAAATCAAAACAAGAGGCATATGGTGTTTCAAATTACTTTGAATGCTGGGAATTTGTCAAATTTGAAAGTTCTTATTGTGTTAAGGATTTTGGTAAATATTCAATAAATATTGAATTTTACATCATAAGTTTGTGTTGCATACAATTGATTATAAGCCATGTAAAATTCAGCAATAGATATATTGAGATTTTCTTCTCGATCAGTGGGTCAGATTTGTACTTGAGAAAGTGGGATCATCTACTGTTATGGGTATACATATTACAAAAAATGTGTATGTTGATATCTATTGTAATCTGGTGCTTTTGTATTTTTTTCCCCCTTTTGATGGTGTTGGAGAAATACGATTGTTACATCTGGATGCTGGTTAAATTTATGATCATTATAACTAGACTTGATTCAGTTTCTAGTTGAGCTGCATGTCCCTCAAATGCTGTATATGAGATATTAAATAGACAATGTTGTGTGTTGATTGTAAATCAAAATATTTTTACCTTGAATAATGTCTTACATCTGTGAAAAATGTGAAACTGAATATAGAGAATTTGGAGGCGCCACAATGTCACAAAGATGGTAGCCGAGCAGCTTCGACTAGACTGGGAAACAATGTTGAAACATGATGCTGTTTCCTTAAATAGAACGTGGATTTCCAACAGTTTCCTCAGACCTTTACTTTTCTTTATCACATATTTATCAATTCGATGTCAGAAAATTCAAGCCAGAGATATAGAATGTATGCAGAATTGCTTCAGAATTCTATTGGAAAGCATAAAGTCAACTGGTATGCCATTTTTTTACTATTTCCATAATTGTGTTTATACTTTATGCTTCAGGTCATTCATCTTCTTAGGACTGCTAGTCAATTTGTAAGCCCAGTCACTTCTTTAGTCATTTATGTCTATGGTTTTCCTAGCTAATTATGGTTTGAAGTTTAAACTTTAAAGGCATTACAAGGACAATGGAAGAAAAATTGGTGTGGATTGTTATATTGAGTCAAAAAATAATAATAATAATAATCAATTTTGAATCCACAACGATTTTTAGGATGTTGCAGTATGGTTCCAATTTTAAGGCATCACAAGGACAGAGATAAAAGAAAGACTGAAAGGGGGTTGGGGCCTAAGAGCACCATTATGAAATATTTACTTTCCTTTTCCTTTATTTTGGAAAAGATATATGCGTTATATTGAAGAAAGAGGACTTGGGTTGGGGGAAGTGGTTCCCGAAATTTTGGCCACCAGCTTTCCATATCTCTTGGTTTCAAAGAAGGCTTTTCAGTGGTGTCATTTTCTGACTTTCTATTTCATTTATTCTTCTCTTATATTTACATTTTAGAAACATTAAAAAACATGCTAATTTGATAATATGATGTTAGGTTCGAGAACCGTGTTGCAGGAAAAAGGAAAGCAAAACTAAAAAAGAGATAAAGCAGATCGAAGCAAAAGATAGTTGAGAAACAGATATAATTTACCTTTTATCCTTTTCAGAAATATTTGGGTTTTTAACTCTCGCAGCCCTTAGGATTTGCTTCTCTCCTTGTCATGCAATTCATTACTTTCTTAATTTGTCCATGTGCATAAACATCTAATATGCTGATCTTTTAATCATCCTCGATTTGTAGATCCACAGAAGAATTTTTGCTCTATGGCAACTGGTACACTTGAGGAGAGAAGGACATGGCTTTTTCAAGCACAAAAGCTTGTTTCTTTGTGCTTATCTATTCTTGGAGAGTGTGATAATTCCGTTCAAGGGGGTCAAGATATTGTTGCTCTTACTTCTCTAGCAGTGCGTTTTGTTGTCGCGTTGACTGATCTTAAAGGATGGAAAACCATTACTGATGATAATCGTAAAGATGCAGATAAAGCAGTTAAGGATTTAATTCGGTTTATGGGAAGTAAGAAAAGTGGGATGTACATTTGTATTAGAAGATACATTAATAACTTAAATGCTCCATCTTTGCAAGTAAACTGTTCTGGGCTGACAGATGATAGATTCTTGATTACTGCAAGTGCACTAACTTTAGCCTTGCGGCCCTTTCATATTGGAAACTTGGATTCAAATGGACTTGGCCTCTTGGATGTGGAATATGCTGCTGAGCAATGCTGTGTATTTATACTTACAATCCCTTGGCTTGCTGAACTTCTACCAGCAGTACTCTTACCTGCTCTGAAGCACAAGTCTGTTCTATTACCTTGCTTCAGGACGCTACTGGTAAGGCTCACTGAGCTGGAACAATATCCTTCGTAATTTTTTTGAAGACAAAATTCTTGATATTGTGCTTGCTAGTATTTGATTTATGAAGAGCAAAAAGTGTGTCTGTAATCATTATGTAAATATTAATCTGGAAAAACCAATTTATATTATTTATAATGTTTAGACACTGTATCATATAAAGTATGTTGATATAGGAGAGAAGTCTGCTATACAACAATAACCAAGCCTTTTTTCCAACTACTTGGGGTTGGCTACATGAATCCTATGTTTAGCCTCAGTCAAGCTGATGCAATGCATTGCTCAAGGGGAACACCCTAGCATTTACTTGTGTATTCATAGGATTCATGTTCATATTGGTCTGGCTGTCAAGCTACCTAATGCAACCCTCCTCCTTTATCTAGGCTTGGGACCGGCTGTGTAAAGAAACACGGGCGTAGTTATATAGAGAACCTTGGAATCTGATGTCTATATCGGCTAAGATGGCAACTGTTGTGCATCCTATGAGTACATGGATATCTAAATGCCTATATGTCTAACCCCTTGGAGATTTGGTAATATAGGCAATCCAATGAGCAAATTTAGCAACATTATAAATTCCTAAAGTAGAGACAAACTAGACGACATTGTTCCTAAAAGATTTTGATCGAGTACATAAATTCTTGGTGACTCCTTCCAGGTAATTATGAAGTTACCTTTATGCCCATTCCCTTAGTGATTGGGTAAAATAGGCAACCAATCTAGCACATTTAGCAATATTAGCAAGCATTATGTAGTTTGTCGCTACTACCATTAATGCAGGTATCAGGTTCATGTTCATTCCTTCATTATTTTTTAAGGTTTTGTTTTATGATTATTTGCCTAGTAAGTTATGTTATGTTATTAATTGTTCACATTCATAAAGTCCTAATTTTCTCTCTGTTATAACTTCTTAGCTCAAAGTAAGATTTGAAACATATGGGGGCTGATCAAACTGTGGCAGGTGATGGCAGATCTTGAAAGAGAAAATCTTAAAGGAGATTACTGAGGTGGAACAGTTAAAAATCACCTGTTCCAAGGTGATGCCACAAGTTGGTTGGCTCCTTGCAAACACTATATACCTTGCAATGGGGAGTGAAGACAATTCTGTGGGTCCTGGAAAGCTCACCGAAGGCTTAGACTCATACGTCCACGTGGTTATCATCCTTGCAGAGAGCTTACTAGCTTGGTTTGAGAATGTTGGATGGCTGAAAAAGGAGAACCAAGAATTCCAAAGTGATGTTGAAACTTCTGCAGAATCCATTGACACACTGTTGTGTGAGACTCAGAAAGCTTACAAATCCTTGAACATGTCGTACATGGATTTTTACAGGCCTGTTTGTCAGCAATGGCATCTTATGAAACTTCTAACCTTGGAAAATGATGCTACTGCTCATGGAGCTGATAATCCACCGGTAAGCATTGAATGTCAAGGGAAGTGTGAACTGCTTGGTGTTGCATGTTATTATTCTTACATGCTGAGAATATTTTCTGTCATGAATCCCGTGGTTGGGTCATTGCCTGTTCTCAACATGCTGTCTTTTACTCCTGGATTTCTTGTCAATCTGTGGGGAGCACTGGAAAGATCCGTTTTTCCTGACAGAAGTCACATTGCTAAGGATCATTATCACTGCGGAAGTAAAACTTCTGAAAACCAGAATGATGGGGTTCTTGAGAGAAAGCAGAAGCGGTTTGCTAAGGATGGAAGCAGCAAGTGGGTTACTGTATTACATAAAATCACTGGCAAATCACAAGCAGATGATGATTATATAGATCCAAGTCAATCTACACAGGTCAATGAAGATTCTTGTGATGTGTGGGATATAGAGTCTTTGAGGCAGGGACCAGAAGGTGTACCAAAAGATACTTCCTGTCTGCTTCATCTCTTTTGTGCCGCCTACTCCCACTTGCTGTTAATTCTAGATGACATAGAGTTCTATGAAAAACAGGTGAATTGAATTGATTCAAAGTTGTTATTATCATTTTCATTTGCCACTTTGAATCACTTTAGCTGTTTCTGAATGTTGAACATTTCCTGAAATGAACTAGGTTCCTTTCACATTGGAGCAACAACGTAGAATCACATCAATGCTTAATACATTAGTGTATAACGCCTTGTCTCATAGTGTTAGCCAGCAGAGTAGACCTCTTCTGGATGCTGCAGTTAGATGCCTGCATTTGTTGTATGAAAGGGATTGCAGGCACCAGTTTTGTCCCACTGCTCTGTGGCTTTCACCTGCTAAAAATAATCGACCTCCAATTGCAGTGGCTGCCAGAACTCATGAAGTCTTCTCAACTACTCTAAGAGTTGATGATACTTTCACTATTCCAAGCATGGGTTCTGTCATTACGACTACCCCACATGTCTTTCCATTTGAAGAAAGGTAAATACAACATAATGGGGTTTAAATTTTCTCTTTTAAATATGTTGTTGACAGCTGTGATGCCTGTTAAAAATGTTGTTGGACTTAGTATCATTTGTTGCAAATTTCGTAATCAAATTTTTTTTTTGAGTTGTAATTTTCGTTTGACTTTGAGTCATGTCCAAGTTGAGGTTACAAACTTAAGTTGATCGTTATTCAAGAATGATGGACCTTCAAACCAATCCAATTCACACTCTTGGGAATATGTAAGACAGTGAAGTTGTTCACAAAATCTTTTGGAAACCTGATTGATGTTTTTAAGTGTTTTAGAATGTAGGACATCGCCTTTTAAACTCAAAATTTTCTCAAATGCAAAACAGTTCAAGTTGGACCAATGCATGCACCTTTCAAGCACTTGTACACAACAATTCCGGAGAGAGCTGAGTATCAATAGACTTTTGACATGTACTGGTACAACTTTGTAGAAAGTTGAGCACTGGTACACTTTTTGACATTTCCCATTACAACTTTGCACAAAACAAGCCCAAATTTGTTTTTATTAGCATGGAAAATTTTCAATTGTTGAAAAGACTTGCATGACTCGCAGTTGGAATCTAGACTCTGTAAATACATTTTTTAGAGTTTTTTAAGTTTTTTCTGTCTTTTGCACGTTTTACTTCTACCGTAAACTGCCTTTTGGTTTTCAAGCATTATTGCATCAGTTTTCTAAGCCTTTTATTTTTGTTTTTGCGCACACATTTGCATGAGTGGATATTTATGTGTGAGCCATCATTGATCGATTATAAATAAAGTTATTTGTGGATTATTGAAGAATGATCAAGCAGCAAATTCCATCATATCTTCATCAGCGTTTTTGTGAAGATTTTACAATCACATTCAGAGAAGGCGCATTGAGGGGGTCAAAATTGTTGATGGATTGCCACTGCTGAGTCCCTTTCGGCTCATTCTTATAGGAATGTGTACATGTCTATTGTGTGTTTGTATATGTGTGAAAATATATATGGGGTGTCACTACTGCAGAAAGACCATTTGTTTGCTGCCATTACCTCCCACCTGCAGCTAGCCAGTGAGCCTCTTGGGTTTGCTCTGGAAGCAAACCTGTAGGACTCATTTTATCTAGCATTATCCTTTTTGAGTACATCTGTAATTTCTCCTTTCTCTTGTTCCTTTCCAATAGGACTCATTTTCCTCGATGGCATCTGAAAAATACTGAAACCATTATTAGTCTACAACCTTTTCATTTTTTCAATATATCATTTCTCAGTTTAGTTTCAACAGACTACCTTTATGATAGCCTGCAGCTGGCCAGAAGTTGAGTTTTTTTCCTCCTATACGCTGATTGTCTCAAAAAGGAACTCCTTTCTCATCTCCCAATATATTAATAAAGAAAATGCAAGTGTAAACTTTGTTTTTGATTCAAACGATAGGTTTAAATGTTTTTTTTACCCGTGACAGAGTTCAAATGTTCAGAGAGTTTATCAACATGGACAAGGTGTCCCGAAGAATGGCTGGTGAATTGGTTGGACCTGGTCCACGATCAGTTGAGATTGTGATTCGACGTGGTCATATTGTTGAAGACGGGTTTCAACAATTAAATTCTCTTGGATCAAGATTAAAGTCTAGCATCCATGTTTCATTTGTTAGTGAATGTGGCCTTCCCGAGGCTGGACTAGACTATGGTGGGTTATCGAAGGAGTTCTTGACTGATATAGCAAAAGCTGCCTTTGCCCCGGAGTAAGTTTGACATTGCATCCAACTTTTTTGCTCCATTCTCCGTTATCACATGACAGCATTTTATCTTATTTCTTTCTATTGTTGTCTAAGGTATGGGCTGTTCTCTCAGACCTCAACTTCAGACAGACTTCTAATACCTAATACAGCTGCAAGATCTCTAGAGAATGGTATCCAGATGATCGAGTTTCTTGGGAGAATTGTTGGAAAAGCACTTTATGAAGGAATATTACTAGATTATTCCTTTTCACATGTTTTTGTACAAAAGTTGTTAGGCCGCTATAGCTTTCTTGATGAACTATCAACTCTTGATCCGGAGCTTTACAGGAATCTCATGTATGTAAAGGTACACCCTTGTGATAATATATAAGAAATTCAAGTTCTAAGATAATGCCCATTTTTATTGTTATTTTTTTATGGGAAGTAGTAATGTCTAGTCACTCCTGTTGTATAGGTTTATTAGTTTGCAAATTAGAATTGAGGACCATTCCTGATGGGAATGCAATAGTTCTCTTTTCCTATTGATCTGGAACTGGAATTAATAGGTGAAGTTTTTTATTTATCCTACAAGGAAGCCTAATCACTGCCTTTACTAAATTAACACGATCTAGTTCTGGGGGATAGAGGTGGGGAGAAATTCTCTAGCTGTTGCAGTAGTTTACTGCTATTCCAAAAAAAAAAAAAAAGTGCAGGGACCTTCCCGACGGGAGTGCAACAATACTCTTTTCATGTTGATCTGCAAGTGGAGTTTAATAGAGGGGAAGCTCTTGAGTTTTTAGGCCCAGTTTGGATGGAAAGAAATGAAAGGAAAAGAAAAGAAAGGAAATGGAGGGTTATGGTTTTTTATGTTTGGTATAAAATTTTGAAGGGAAAAGAAAGGGAATGGAAGTATTGGAGGGATTCATTAAAGCTTTATGAGAAGGTTTTATTATCTTTCCAAAAATGGGAGGAAATGGAAGGAAAGGCTAGCATTTTTAATGAAACTTTGTTAATACCAAATTTGCCTTTATTTTTTGTAAAAGAAAAAAATCTATGAAAAAGGGTATGGTGGTAAATTCATTCAAATAGTTCCTTTCCTTTATTTCCCCAAACATGATTACTATCATTTCCTTTCTTTTTCCTATATTAATCAACCAAACACGATAAGTGGTTTACACTATCGTCTCCGCTCCTTTCTTTTATTTTCTCTCGTAACTAATTTTTTTGCTTGTGCAGATTCTGAAGTTAGGGATGGTCATACTTTTCAAATTAAAGAAACTCATCACAATTTAAAATTTTTAAAGTTGGCCTGTTTTTAATTAATATTTCATGAAAACATTGCTTTCAAAATCTATTATATTTAAGCAAGTTGTATCAATAAACACCTGCGCATGGTAAATAGAAGCGTGAAAGGTCTTCATCAAACTCTATTTTGAAGGAATTTTTTTTCGAAAACTAGAATATATATGTATATTTTGTTCTTTTGTTTAGGATTTTAAACCCATGTTTGAAATCTAGGATGTTGAGATTTATTGTATGATTTATAGAATTTTTTTTGTTACTTGCCCGCAGGTTCACCAGAAAAAGTATATCTGGATGTTCTGTTCTATGTCTTTGATGTCAGAACGTCTATCATTTTAAGCAATATAATTTTAGTTTCGATGCATAATAAACCAATTTCCTTCTTCTTAGGCAACTAGATAGTGTTCCGGAATAAGAAAGACCAAGCCACACAGGTCTTTGTTGACTCATACAAGGCATAAAATAAACTTTCTAAACTGTTGACTTATCATTATTCAAGAAAGAGGGGAGATTATGCCCTTGATAAAGGCGATATAGGTGACATCCTCTATAGTAATGTGAAATAAATATTGTGAACTATCCTCTTTCGAAAAGCACCAACGTGGTATCTCTCTTTAGTGCGAGTGTACCAATGTGGTTCTGGTATGAGGGAAAATTTAATTTCCCAGTGCCTAATTTAAGTGGGGTCTCCTTTACTAAATTGGTAAGATCATCAGGTTTCCTTATATATATATGCATATGTTGATAAATGATGAGTAGATATGACATGGATGGATTTTATAGGACAAGAAAATATGCAGAATTTCATTTTAGATAGAAGGTGGTAAAATGTTTGGGATGGAACATCGTGAATCTTTTTAGTTATTTTATTCAGTGGGTTCTGTATATTTCATTGCTCTAGTTTGAGTGGCGCACAGGATTTTGGTTACAAGTCAATTCGTATATGTGGACAGTCCGATTTTTTGATATCTAAAATTTCTTTGGCTATACAGCATTATGATGATGATGTCAAGGAACTCTCTCTGGATTTCACAGTTACAGAAGAATCATTTGGCAAACGGCTTGTTATTGACCTTAAACCTGGGGGCAAGGATGTATGTGTGACGAATGAGAATAAGTTGCAGTATATTCATGCAATGGCTGATTATAAACTTAATCGACAGGTAAGTAATAGCTTTTTCTAGGGAACTTGTTTGCTTGTATTTGTGCATATACCTTGTTCCCATTGTTGAATTGCAGATCCTGCCTTTATCAAATGCATTCTATCGAGGGTTGACTGATCTTGTAGCCCCATCTTGGTTGAAGTTATTTAATGCAAGTGAATTTAATCAGGTATTTACCCTTTTCCATGCACATTGAGTAAGTTGTTATTTTGCAATGATATATAGCTGTTGGGTGTATTTTGTATATCGATACATCAGTTGCTTCAGTTATTTCTCATTATGCCATGTTGTTGTTAGGCTTGATGCATTAGTTACAAGTTTGGCATCTAAGAAGATACCTTGTATAGGTCCAAAGCTGCAGCTTCACTATATATGTTCTTAATGTCTGTCTACTTATTTATTATTAATGTTTGTCTATTTTGTTGAAAAGTTAGTAAGCGTTCAAATGGGCCTTCTATGCAGGGCTACCATGGCACATATTCCTGTTCAGATAGGCATTGTTAATTGTGTAATTTTTTGAAAAAAAGAAAAGAAAAGAAAAAAGAACCAAATACTGTATTCTCTATTAAGCTTTTGCTAATCAGTCTGCGGAAAGGAAATTTTTCTTAAAGGGACACATTCTGTTGCAATTCTTCTGCATGTGTACCAGAAAGAATTGTGAGTTGGTATCTTTTTGTTGAATGAAAGAAATATTGTTTAAATTTTGGAATCTTTATGAACAACTTGCCAAATTGTGCATTTGGCTTCTTAGTGCCACCTGCTCCTTACAAAATGTAACTTCAAAGTAGTTCCGGGCAACAACCTAATTTGGAATTGTTGCCAGTAGATTGGGGTTATTTTTCATCTTATTATATTAATGTTGGGGATGTGACCATGAGGTACTCCAACCATCTTATATCAACTGTAATACATTTATCACATGAATTTGTAAAAACAGTTGCTAATAGATGTATACTTGTTTTGCATCTAACTTACGTTAAACAAACACTTTGCTTGATATGTTTAGACAATTTTATTATCAATTAATTTCTTAACAGAACATTTGTACCATGCACACATGGTATATAAGTATACTTTCATCCATGGTGAGAGAGAATTGGATCCACTTGATTCAGGAGGAGAAAAAAAATAAAAATTGGATCCACTTGAAAGTTGAAAAGTGAATATGGCAGCCAACACCATTGAGGCTTAGATGAACACCTTGACTGAGAGCACCAATACACAACTTTAACTTCATAATCCAATAAATATGTCTTTAATGTTTTTTACTGAATTTTGTTTTTGAATATTTAAAGGTGATTTAATATGATTAATGACCTAACCATTTGAATTTTTAGTCTATTATCTGCAGTAAAACTCATTGATTTGTTTTTACACTTAATTTATGGCCATAAATGCACTTAAATATAAAAATAAATGAAATATTACCTGATAAAACACATAAGATCAAATTTTATTTGTATTAATGTCATGCACAAGAGAAAGAAAATTCCCCATATATATATATAAACTAAATAAATTCTCACATACATGTCAAACACTATTTTTCTGTTAACTCTACATGAAAGAATAGAAAATAATTCAAAAATAAAAATTTAACAATTATTTAGATATTGGAAAGCTTTGTTTCAAGATTTTGGCTCAAAATTGTAAAATCTTGAACTTTGAAGGCTAGATTAACATTTGGACTGTTTTTGGAGAGAGTCTCTCGACTAGAAGGAAAAATGGAAAAGAGGAGAAAAGGGGGTTATTAAAGCCCATGTGCCACATTGCCGTTTTGGCCTTGTATCGGTCAATATAGTGCTGTATTGGCTGTTAAGAACCCTTACAGCTTTGTTTTGGTTGATATGACTCCATATCAGCTGATACATGACCATGTCGGTCATGTCTCCTATGAAATAGAGTCGCGCCGATATGTCAGTTAGACTCGGTATCAATTTTGTCCGAGTCCTGTACGACTTCACCATTATGTTGGCCTAGTGTCGAAAACTTGCTAAAACCGTAAGCTTAACAAATTCTTTTTCTACCAATATAGGGTCACCTTATTAATCTTCCTTCATCCATCTCCTTCTCGGTACTTTCGAACTATAGGCCTTAAAGCGTTTTCTGTCTTTGATGAACCCTAATTGAACTGTACATGTGGCTTTACCTTGAATACGCACGCACACGTCTATACATGACCTTTTTTTTTTTTTTTTTTGATAAATAAAAGAATATTATTAAAAGACGCTCAAGAGGGGAGCGAATCCCAAGGAAATACAAAAGAGCACAAAGGTCTCAAGCCTTCAAAGAGGCCAAAAAATCAACAATTTCCTCCAACGATCTATGATCTCTCCCTGAAACCTAACAAAAAAGAGTGGAAATAATTGAGAATTTAAGCACCGAAATCGACACCGCCTTTCCTTTAAAGTATCTCCTATTCCTTTCAAGCCAAATACACCACTCTCCACGCATCCTGACTGAGAGCCCCCACATGACAACCTCTCCACATCTCAATCAACTCTCTAGTAGATCCTGGCATAACCCAATAAAACCCAAATAAGCCAAGCATCAAATCCCAACACTCTCTAGCCAAAGAGCAATGAAAAAGAAGGTGATCCACAGATTCCTAATCACGAAGACACATATAACAACGATTGAGCACCACCTGGCTTCTCCTTCTCAAATTATCCTGGGTTAAGATCTTACCCAGAACCGAAGTCCACACAAAGAAAGCCACTTTGAGAGGAGCCTTAGAACGCCAAACAGACTTCCAAGGAAAACGAACTCCAGGATCAAAAGAGAGGCACTTGAAGAAAGACCTCACCTCAAAACGCCCCTTGGAGTTTGCGACCCAAGACCAACAATCCGAATCCTCCACCACAGTCCTCTGGCGATATAACAAATCCAAGAGACGAATTGCCTCATCAATCTCCCAATCCTGAAAGGCACGCCTGAATCGAACATCCCAAACCAGTCTCCCATTATCAAGATGATAACAGTTAACCACCAAGGCCTGCCTATCCGAAGCAATCCTGTAAAGCTAAAGAAAGGCAAGAGCAAGAGGAGCATCACCACACCACACATCCTCCCAAAAGCAAATCCTCCTCCCATCTCTAAGACGAAACCGAATGTGCTTGGAAAAATCATGAAGAATCATGAAGAGATCTTTATGCGACATTCTGCTCTTGCTTGGGGGACCTATATTACATGGACTCTTCAAAAGTAGTGAAATACTCATGTTCGACACACATTACTCGGACATGGGTACGGGAAATGTGGCCGACACTTTTGGTTGGACATGTATCAAAATGCTTACCCAATAATTCAATATATTATATTATTACTTCAAAATGAGTGTAATGCCTAAATTGAACACATTGTTACTTAAATACATTATTTTACTCTAGAAAATAAAATAAATATATTAAATGAAATGATCATTTTGCATTGTTAATGTGTCCTCCTAATTGGAGATTTTGACACGTTTGACGCGTGGATACATACCCATACCCAACACATGTACCCAATTCCATGTAACTTGGCTTGGAACAACTTGTTGACTAGGGAATGTAAAAATCATTATTTTGTTGCTAATCTTGCACTGAACCAAACTTTTAGGCTATGTTATATGGACTCGGATGTAACGACCATAAACTGATACCAATTATAAAAAAAATTTGGCATGACCTCTGCTAAAAAGGGGCCCACAACAACCTGCTTAAATAAAATAAAAAAAATGCAATGGCCTTTCTTGGCCCTTCAAGACTTATCCAACCTGTCCCAACACACAATACAAAAAATATATATATATATTCCCAAAACAACAACATCAACAACCTCCTCAAAATGACCCATCATCATCATCCCATCCAACACAAAATATTTACATAATCTCGCTTCCCTTCAAAATACCAACAAGAGTATAGTTTACAATACATGACCATGGCTTGCAAAATGTATGCACTTCACTATGGTTTTGAAACTTTACAAAAGTGTAGCAAATATACAAAAGATAGCAAAAAAATATATTCCTAGTCCTCCTTAAGTTTGTGAAGGGTCTGCGTCTCCTACTAACTTCCCGAGTCCTGAAAAAATGTTAAATGTAATGGGAGGAGCAAATTGCTTAGTAGGTGGTGCCTAAGACACACGTTTTGTGGCCCCGTGAATCTAAATAATGAATAGGAATAGAGGATAGGAGTCATGCTATACCGGAAAAGAATACAACATAAATTCCAATTTCAAATAAATAATGCCATGCCATGATATGCACTGTCATGTATGTCGCTCCCTATTTTCAAAATTCAAATCCATCGCTTTTCAAACTGTTAATATAACCCATCCTTTGGTGACTCCGCAGCGACACGAGAGAAGGATTGGTTACTGTCCCTGAGCCTTGGTACCCTCGTGGCGTGATTTGGGGCCCAACTAGCTCAACCACGCTAGGGTGATTTTCCTAATTCCCTCTAGGTTATATTAACACCACGGCCCTTTGGTGACTCCGCGGCGACCGGGTTTTTCTTAAAATCATTTTATCAAAATTCTTCCCAAAAATCCCTTTTTCTTTTATTTCAAATAATTTCCCTTCATTCATATCCAATGAAATGTATACATGTCTCATACTTTCAATGCTATGATAATAAGGGATTTTCATACAACACAATTAAGCATGCCTTACAAGAAATTTTAAAAAATTTTTACATGCTTCCATACATCATTTCTAGTAAGTTAACACCCAATAGACATAAGGAATCAACACTTAGGCATGTTTTCCATATAAATCAGTAAATACACATAGTTGTATGCTTTATATACACAATTAAATCATTTAAGAGACAACCAACTCAAACTAAGCATGCATAACAACAATTTTAATAGAAAAACTCACAAAGGTGCAAGAAAGTGGGAATCAGAGACCCCTACCTCAAATTAAGCCAAAAAACCCCAAATGGGTCTCAAAACCGGAATCCCTAGAGTGCACTAAAACTGAAATTGCTTATATGGATGTGAAGATCTCGCCGTGCTCTTCGAATTGCCGCAAACGGCTTCCAAAAATTCCAAAGGTTGAGGGAGAAATCAAGGTTTAAAATCTTGAAGTGAAGAAAAAGAAAAAATGGAATTTGAGAGGTGAGAGAGACAGACCAGTGGGGAGAGAGAATTGTGAGACCTTTAGTGGTCTCTAATCCACTTAAATGACTAAGGTGGGTCCCACCACTTTTATTTTATTTTTCCTTTTTCTTTTATTTTCATTTTACACCACATATATATATGTACACATTAAATAATTTCACAACCTTATATAGCACATTAAACAATATGAATATAATGCAAATGGACCCAACTAAATTCCCCGTATGCAACAATTCTGCCAGCGGTTATCACACGGGACCGTGCGGCCCGAAAAATGAAAAATGCGAAAATGATCACCCTTGCATTTCAAAGAGTTCTGAACTCAATAGAATGCCCCAAACAACTTCAGACACACCTGGCACACCCCACGGTGTCCGGTACTCACAACGTAAAAAGACAAATGCCCTCGCATCAACAAAATTCCGAAAAAATGAAAAATGGAGAAAATTGGAAACATTACATCGGATACGTGTGTTAGATGGGGGAATATATCCAAGTGTCGCACCTGGCAAATCCCCAAAGTGAGGGACATAGCTAAATGTTCCCTATTATTTTGTATAGTAAAATGGTGTCCTTATGTAACATAGTTTTCAATGTAGGCCTTTTACTAGTTTTGAAGCAATAATGTATTAAAATTAAATAATTAGATATGCTTTTTAGGTGCATGTCCAACTGAAAATGTCGATACACATCCCACACACACTTGTACCCATTTCCGAGTATTGTTTTGTCTCACACGGGTACTTCACCTACTTTTAATGAGTCCATGTAACATAGCTTTGAGCTATGGCAAAGCATGTATAACTTTTTTGAGCAAAGATCATAGGAGAGAGTTTTCAAGGGTGCTCTGTAAAGAAGGCAATGCATGTTAGAAATTGTGAGAGTTCCGATGTGGATGAGAGTGGGACAGTGGAGAGAGAAACAGAAAGCAAGGTTGAGTAGTGGGCATGGGCGGCATGCTTTCAACCCAGATGGTAAACAATGCATATAGTCTGATCCATGCCTCGTATGGTCCTTTTGGACTCCAGGCCACTACATATTGTGATGTACTAGGGACTTCATGAGGAATCATTGAGGTCATCAACTATTTAGTGCATCACAATGTTTGTTTAGCATATTATATACATGGTGGGTCAATTAATGACTTGATGAATCTCCGAGTCTAAGGTATGTGTCCTTGCCATGATAATTGAGTCATCTATAAAGTGAATAGCACGCTCTCTAGCATTGCCTTATGCCTATCAAAGCAAATGATTTTTGGAACTGTCTCCATGTAGCAATCTCAATGGAAGGAGGTTGTAAGTCGGTATCGGGCAATGAAGAAAACGGAACTTAGCTTTTTATAGCAAGGCCTACACCTCGGCCAAGGTGACAGGCTGACAGCCAGTGGCCAGGGTGGTTGTGGCTGGAAGTAGGATGGGTGGGCCATGAAGATCACTGCATACCTAAAATTCACGAGACTGGTCAAGTCTTTCTGCACTAGTCAGACACAGCATGGGCAGTTGAACGTGCAGAAGGACCAGTCGGAGTATAGCACTGTGAATCATTGAGTTTCTAATTCTACTAAAGTTTATTTCCAATTTGTCACTTGAGCTCCTAAAATATTTTTTTTAGAAAATATTTTTCTTTTTCAGGTAAAATATTTTTTTATTTTTACTTTGTTGGTGTTTAGTAAAGGTCTATGTCAAAGTTAAGGTCGAGTCCATCGGGCGGGGCATATAAAATAACTTGCCAAAAATTGATGGATAAATTATTTTTGTTAAATTTTAATATTTTTTTTCTTCGTAAATATTTTACGACAACCAAACACCAAAAAATAAAAAAATATTTTCTGAAAAATATTTTATGTCCAAACAAACGGAGCCTTGGTATTTTCCAATTTCAGGAAAAGAAGTAAATGTTTGAGGTAAACACAATGGATCTTCTTCTACTTTTCTTTTCTTTTCTTTTTTTCTTTTTTGACAGCTAGCTTTGGGCAAAACAGATGTAAACAGGATACATTTTTTTGTTCATAAGTGTATAAAAAGATAATAGGTATTTAAATTTTTTAAGAGTAAGATGCAGGGCATCAATACAAAACAACTCGATACAGAGGATTTAGACGACAGTATGCTAAATTATATATTTAAAGATAATTGAAAGAATAACTATCCAATTATCTTTTGCAACTTTTTCTTATAATGCACATTCTTAGATAATAGTATGAAATGCAATAAATATGATTTGTATTTCTTTAAGTTCTTCTTTTCTTTTTCTTTTTCTTTTCCTTTTCCTTTTCCTTTTCCTTATTCTTTTTCTTTTTCGTCTTCCTTGTGTTTTTTGTGTGCGTCCTTGGTTTTTTATGCATGGGTTCACTTTACTGTTCGATGCTGATACATTATTACTATATTCAGTTGCTTTCTGGTGGAAACCATGACATTGATGTTGATGATTTGAAAAATCACACACGGTACACTGGTGGTTATTCTGAAGGGAGCCGAACGGTTAAACTCTTTTGGGAGGTATCAATACCACGATCGCAATTGAATTACTTAATGCTTTCTTCTGTTTGATTATTCATATTTTTTTTTCTTTGTTGAAGCCACTGACATGGATTCAGCTTCCATGCTACCTATACAGTTCGGATACTTTTGAATTGCCTGCATTTTATCTCACATGCATCTAAACCTTTCCTTTTTTATTTTCTTTTTTCGAGTTTTCTCTATGCACATTTATGTGCACAAGCAGGTGCAATTTATGCACCTCAATTAAACTGGACACATCCATCTCTGTTATCTTTGTTAATTAGAAAAGTTTGTGTTCACTTATTCTTTAATTTGAAGAATTTTTCCCCCTCAGTGAATTATGCAGGTTTAATTTTGGTTCTTGCTTATATTCAAGTCACCTACAAAATGGAAACTTGAATGCAAATTTTTCAGGGTTGTTAAATGCTTTCTTTGCCTATTGATGTAAGAATATTTGCTCTAGACAATTGTTTAGCTAATAATTTGTTATGCAATTTAAGTCAACTAAGAAACTCCTTTATGGATCTCTGATAAAATGGCAATGCAATAACAATAGCCAATGAGCTCTTTCTGCTTCCTGAGCTCTTTTTAAAATCTTTGTTAATCTCAAACGTCAGGGCACAATGCTGAAGGGAGCAGAGTGCAGACCACACCTTTGTGTGTTGTTCCTCCTAGTGGGGGCGAAGGCTGATAGACTGGCAGTTAGGAGTTCCTCAGGTGAAGAATGACATGTTATTGATTATGACCAATAACTTTCTTAGACTCTGGATTCCCATTTTCACATGATTGATTATTCAACAATTTGAATTAGTTGTAATCTTTAGACCTAAGGGAAGGCATACTTTTCTTTACAATGTGACTGATCACAGTCCTGCCCCAAAATTTGGAAGGATCTCTACCCTTTATAAGGCCCTCCGAACCAACATAGTCAGTCTCAATCATGGGATACATAAAAATTAATAATTTTAGTAACTTAGCAAAAGATAAAAGAACTTATTCAAAATGTTGATGTATCTGAAGATTCTTCTCGCTGGGAATCTCTTTATGCCCCTCATCTTTGCAATGTGCTTAATCAGTATGACCTCCCCTGCTTCTTGCAAGCGGGAGTTTAATTATGAACATCATTTATGAAAATCTACAATAGATTTTTCTCGACAATCATGGGCAGTTCTATTTCCATAGTTCCATATTAAGATGTCAATTCAAATTTATCATGGTGGACATTATTGATATTCATATTGTTTCCTATTAAAGGTCTGAGCTGCAAGTTGGGTTAGACCTCTAGTTGCACCCACATGAATGATATAATCAAGCAGGAGAGGATAAAGAATTCAGCTTTCAAATCTATATTGTCAGTGTATAGAAGATATTTTTGAGCTATTACATAATCATCTATAAATACGATTGTGTGCTACTCTTCTAGTTTTCTCAAATTCTTGTTTAAACAATATGAGGCTTTGATAATAGGAGTCCTCTCTCATAGTTGCAATAAATTTGTTGAAGTCTACCACATCATTTTGCATAAATAGATCAATCTAATACCAAATCTCAATACATTTACAAAACGATAAAAAGGTTTATGGTAAGACTCTTCACTTGAAATGAAACAATAGCTACCCAAGAAATTACATTTCTATCAAGCATTTAATGAAGCATTAACCATGAACCTAAATAATTGCATTTTACATTCAAGATAATAAACCCAATTAAGGTAGGTAAAGGTGGCATATTACAGGCATTTATCATGTGGACACGGACACTTCGAACTTCTCCAATGGCGGTTAAGTTTCAAACTTGAGCAGGTTGGGTAACCCAGCTTCATTTCAATGCGTTTAATGGTCTCTTTATTTTACAGTTGGAACACTTTCCTCCCAGATTTGATATTCAGATACGGGCAGGTTATTTATTAACCAAAACAAAAGAAGAGAAAAATGAAGTTAGCCTTATTTTCCTTCACATTTCCAGCAGGTGCAGTCCAGCTAATGCTGCTGACGAGCTTTAGTTTTTAGAACATTAGTATCGTTGCCGTCACCTTCACCCTTTCCATTGCCATTGTGGAGGCGGGGTTAAATCAATGGAAGCCTAGAAAAGAGCACAAAATCTGTTGACTATTTAATTGTTTGAGTTTGCCAATGTCAGGATATGAGAAGGTAGAGTGTGAAGTAGCTGTAGATGAAAATTGGAAAATAAAAAAAATATAAATGTAATAATGGCATGTTCTGTAAATAAATGCAAAAAAGAAGCGGCATGGTCCTCACAATGTCAAAATACCAATGAGATTGCTTTCTTTTTGCATGGTATATATATATAGCTACATTCAGACCTTTAGATATAGATATGTAGCAAGAACAACGAATTCATGTTGCGGAAATGAGGATGTTAAGATGGACAATTGGAATGACTAGGAAAGATAGGATTTCAAACTAAAACATGAGGCAGAAACTAGGTGTAGGCTATGTAGCACCTATTAGTGTCAAGATTAGAGACAGTAGACTTCGGTGGTATGGACATATACTTAGAAGACCTATAGATGCACCAGTGAGAAAAAGGAAGAATAATTTGCATAGAGGGTAGGAGGCCGAGTGGGCATCCGAAATTAACATGGAATTATAAATGATTTAAAAAGCTAAATATTAGAGAAGAGATGGCGTGTAATAGAAAAGAAGGGAAAAAGAAAATTCATGTGGCTGACCCCATTCATATGGGATTAAGGCAAGGATGATGATGATGAAGATATATAGCTACATTCACATACTCAATATTCTTATGAAGCGAACATATTTCTTCCTTTTTGTTTTATCTGATTTATCTCTTCTATCACTTTACTGGAAGATGCCCCTCTTGATTAAGGTTGTTTAGTTGGAACTGATTGGTTAAATCTCTTTCCTGCTAGTGTTGATTTTCTCCTGATGATATTTTTGTCCCAGGTAATTAAGGGATTTGAACCGAAAGAGCGCTGCATGCTTCTCAAGTTTGTAACAAGTTGTTCTCGAGCTCCATTACTTGGGTTTAAACACTTGCATCCAACCTTTACTATTCATAAGGTATCTCCCAAACCAATCAAATAATTTTGTAACTTCCTGAAATCCATTAAATCTCCTAAACCGATCATCTTGTTCATTTTTTTTTTTTTTTTTTTTCTGTCGCGAATGATATCATGTGATGTGGGTTGTGTACTTCTATGAACTTATAAAATTACAATATTATATCTGGAGGCTTAGCACAACATTTTGCTTCAGTATTTTGTGCACTAATAATGCTTACTGGAACCATACACTTTTAACACATGGGGGGATATAATGGACGGCTAGTTACAAAAGAATAAAATAAAGGAGACAAGGAAACACACACATAAATACACACAGAGAAAGAGTTGTAAACTCGTGGAGTTTCTCTTATACAAACTCTGACTCCATTACTTAAAATTATCATTTTACCTTCATTGTATAGGTAAACTAAGGACAAAATCAAGAATTACACCTGGGATTCTCTTACTACAAGCATTGAGAAACCTGAAGTATTAAAAATAATGTGTGTTAGCAAAATGTTGATGATAAACAACAGGGTACCCTTTGAAGGACAGAATACCCCATATACTTACCAATGTGCACGGAAGAATAGCACCTTTGATCCACCCTCCTTCTATTCCAGAAAAATAAAATAAAGCAAAATAATATTCCAGGACTGCTTCATTTTTAGTCCCTTAGATTCTAATTTACGGGATAATTGAAGGCATAGGCATAACGAACTATGTTACATGGACTCTCCTATTCCCCTAATGTAACATGTAAACACAACACGGCAAGACATATTCATGGAATATGTTTCTAAATCATGATCCTCAAATGTGATGAGGGAAAATGAAGAAAATTTAGATTTGATAATAGAGAAGAGTTTTCTATGTCAGAGGTAGATGGAAATTCATTTTTTACCACATTCTATTTAATTTATTCTAATTGAGTATATCACTTAAAAGAACTAGAATCATGCATTTACTATTATATAAATCATAATCTATTCGAGTGTGTATGATGTGTCTACGTACCCATACCCGACTTTTGGATACGTTTGAAGTCGGGTTCTATATGCTAAGATTTGGTATTTAGATAGATTTCACAACCTCACTCAATACATTTATGCAAGTTCATCACAAACTATTTCCTTAGATTTTCCATAGAAAAGAACTCTTCTCAATGTTGACATTACATTACTACTGATATTACTATAATTTTGTACGATCCCCTCGTTTAAAAAGAGTGCGTTATCACGTATACACGGGGATACTAGGAGATTAGAGACAGACCTATGTTGTTATCATTTTGCACAAAGTGACTGATTTTAGACTCTCCCATTTTTACGCTCGTCAGTTTGAGTTTTTACCATTACACCAAGCAATAACTAAGGTAGGTTCTCTCTCTCTCTCTCTCTCTCTCTATTTGCCCCCATCCTTCCAAGAAAATGAAAAAGTACTAACTTTTTCCTAGTACTAAATGGAAATAATAAGGATTTGAATTTATTTAGGTTGCATGCGACGTGCCTCTTTGGGCAACGTTCGGAGGACAGGATGTGGAGCGGCTTCCTTCAGCTTCTACATGTTACAATACTCTCAAGGTACTATTATTAGGGATAAGATCCCTCTTATTTTATCTATAATATTCTGAGCTCAGAGCCCACAAGAACAGCGTTTAGGGCTTTCAGCTACCAGTTATCTACTTATCGACTTACAATGATGGGCTTGTTTTTGTTTTTCTTTTCTTTTACTTTTTTGAAAATAACAGCTTCCAACCTATAGACGTCCAAGCACTTTAAAAGCCAAGCTTCTGTATGCAATCAATTCTAATGCAGGATTTGAACTTTCATAGAGATTTGTGACAAATTACTGTTTGAGGTAAACCTTCTTCGCCTTTGTCTTTCTTAAAGATCATCCCTGTATTGGTGGCATGTTTATCTAATTATTTGTTGTACTTATTATCGATTCCATCAATGATAAAAAATAAAAATAAAAAATCATAAGCGATAAATAGTTACAGATGACCAGCTGGGAATTACGCATTCAATTTCTTCTCATGGCTAGTAAACGTTCATGCATTACTTTTAAACAAAGTCTGTGAATTATTGGGGAAACAGAGTCCATACCGTATGTGAGTGGTCGGAAAGCAATGCATGTTCGGAAGCATCATTATTAGTTCAGAACCAATGTTGTCATTGTGGACCTATTCAATTAATTTGGGAGGCTATAGAAAAGGATTTGAAATGCAATATTGAATAATGAAGGACTTGGGATGCATATCAATTTCCTAAACGGATACTTCATAAAAAGGTTTCAGATACATCTTTTGAAACATAATTACCATGCCATGACCCAGCATTCTTGGCTATCCATGACACATTTTGTAAAAAAATGTACGTACGTAACAGAAAAAACTGCTCATGGTGGAGCCATAATTTTTTTCTTGATACGAGGATCAACATAAGGGAAATCTCCAAATGTTTGAAGCATCATCTGACCATTGTATCATTGGAGAATCTTTATTCGAGGAGATCTTATGTGGAGATTTGATTAGAGGTTGGTGATGGAATCCACCTCCAAAACAATCCTCTGTAGTGTTAAACAAATCTAGACCTAGCTTGCAAAGGAGAGAGTTTCTATTGCACTGGACACACAGCAAGTCTTCCGTGATTCAAAGAACACTGTGTCACAGCTATTCCCGCCAAAAAGAATATGAATTATATTAGGAATAAAACTTATTATCAAACTACTTATTGTGTATGTGTCTGTATGGGATTGAGAGAGAGAGAGAGAGATTGGTTGAGTAAAGCTTCATAAATATTTCTCTCTTTTCCCAGCAATTAAAACTTCATATATCGCATCATGCAACTTTGAAATGATAAATTTTTCTGAAAGCCTAAGGCACTTCAAAATATCTGAAATTTCTAGAATTTTCATCACACAACTTTGCATCATGCAAATTGAAATGATAAAATTTGGTGAAAGCACGTGGAATTTTAAAATATCTTAATTTTCTAGATTTTTAATCTCAAAAATCTTGAGCCAGTTGACTAGAAAAATGATATATATTACAGAATTTGTACCTATCAAAAAATATATATATATTACAGAATTTGTGGAAGTTTATTACCCATGGATGACTTATTGACTAGCTTCATTGTGGATATTTAGGTTCATTACCTTTTTCAAAAGGTCTTACGATCAGACGAGTGGCTGGTTGATATTGAAGATCACAAAGTTCTGAGACCAGGTATCTTGTTCTGCAAATCTAGAGATGTACTCTCTCGTGTGCTTCTTCGTTCAGTCTTTGCAACTCACTAGTTGCTTCCTGAGCTAAACAAGATGATGGTTGCTACCAAACATTAAGTTGGCAGTAGGATTGTCATCCAATCTTCCTTACTCCCAGCTCATATAGATTTTGCCAAAAAGTATATTCTTTCATGTAGAAAGACGCTTATGATGTGTTGAAAGGAACATTTTTTTTTTTTGTTTTGGGGCAAACTTCATGTTGAGTTTCTGTATATATTTCCGGTTCACTTACCATTTAAGAACTTATTTTACTACAACTTGAGGGTAACACTGCCATTGTAATGCCAACTCCTATGCTGCTCCAATATGGAGCCTATGGTGAATGCTGGAATTAGAATGCCTCCTACCTTATTTCTGTATTACAAATAGTATGCACACACATGCTCACTGTCATTATTTTTTAGTATACTATAATTTATTGAGATATTTAAAAAGTAAATATATTATGTTCCACAATATCATTTAACAGGTGGTAGTGTTAGTGCTAAAGACAGTATGGAGTTTGAGACCTGAGCAGTACTGTACAACAAATTCTGCTTGGTATAGTTTTCTAAATATTCAATTATAAAAATGTTCGTTTTCAGAGAACTGTACTGTACAACAAATTCTACTTGGTTTAGTTTTCTGAATACTCAAATTATAAAAATACTTGTTTTCAGAGAACTGTCAGTTCTCTGAAGATAGTTTTCTGCTCTCTGATTTCTTGAAAACTATTTTCAGAGTTACAAACCAAGCAAAACCATGGTTTCTCATAAAATTGTCTGGGAACAATCAGATGAGTAGGCTCTGTGGATTATGTGGTACTTGTGAACGAAACCGGCAATGCCTACACTTGCCAAAACCGGCAATGCCTGCACTTGCAAGGTGGGCCGCTGTGGAGAGTTGGCACTAGCTTTTGGCCTTTCCTTACACCCTCTCACCTTTGGCTCGTTAGACCTATAGCAAGCTAGAGAGAGCATAGTTTTTGGCTGAGGGGAGCATGCGTTAGACCTTAGCAAGCTAGAGAGAGCGTAGTTTTGGGCTGCGGGGAGCATGTTTACTGTTTAGCACCCCTTAGAGGAGGTTTTTTTTTTTTTTTTTTTTTTTTTTTTTTTTTTTTTTTTTTTTCTGTTCAAATACACCCTCATGCCTCCATTGAAGTTCGAAAACCCAACCTCTCATTTGGGAAGGAGGGCTTCTATCAGCTAGGCTATTGCCCATGTCATAGGTATTCTCATTGATATGCTGCTATGGAAGAGCTCTGCTCGCCCAACGCCCCCAGGTTCCCTTGCGTTTGTGCCTTAACCGGCCATTGGAACCCAACGATTCATGTTCAAGCAGTTGGACCACCTTACAGACCCTTCGCCCAGCCCAAGTGAATTGCAATTCATTCTAGTTTTCCTGCCAGCTTTCATTCTATATAGCTTGAGGGAATTGTGGCATAGATTCTGATTCTGAATTTCTAAAATTTTTTTGGATAAAATACAATAACACTCCCCTGAGGTTTGACATAAGGACAATCATATACAAGTAGGCCTATTTTTGGACAATAACACCCCTTGTCAAATTTGACAGCCAAACTGAGGCTGATGAACAAAATTTGAGACTCCAGGGTTCCATTTTGAATTGGTGCAACATAGATCACAAAATTTGATACTCCAGGTTCCGTTCTGAATTGGTGCAACATAGATAAAGATCGAAAAATTCTAATCTCATGTTAACTTAGATAGTTATATATTACATTTGAGAACCAGTCCGAAGGTCATTCATCAGATGAAACCACTCATACAAAACCCAGTTCTTTTCACGAGGACAAACAAAGCCCTAATCATACACATCAATAGAATGGCAAAAGAAGACTTCAGGCAGAAAAGAACATACATTCCATCTCCATCTCCATTGCTGCGAAGAGGTGCAAAATCCCATAGCATTCTTTCAATAGGAGGTCTCCTTAGGAAAGTAAGGTCCAACCTGACAAAAAAAATCTGTTGAACCTCAAATCACAGAGCTGGCAGTACTCAATGCATTATTAGTCGGAATGCCTTGTTGCTGGTCTCCACTGTATAATCATAGCCAAGACTTTTGGCACGATTCTGGAACTCATTTATCTCAGTTGCTGCCACTTGGATGCCAACCAATACATTTGCACCAGTTTCACCCTTTTGACAAGAGAAAAAAATAAACAAATAAAACCGATATCAGAATTGATCATAGTTAAGGGAAATTTCCTTGTACTCAAATGAGAATACAAAATTATGGAACAAGAAGGTTACAAATCGCAACCTGCCCGCGGTAATGGAACAAACTAATATTCCAGCGTGGACTCAAAGCATCCAAAAATTTCATCAAAGCACCTGGCCTCTCGGGAAAAACAAATCGACAAAGAAGCTCATTCTGAACATTTGATCGGCCCCCCATCTGAAAAGAAAGCCAGAAAATAAAAATAAGAGCACAATGCATGCAATGATATTTTGGTGACTGGCCTTGCCACTTGCTGGCATGAATTTAGTACTGTGTGACATTTTCTCTGTCCCATATTTCATTTTTAATCGTACCAATTCAACATTGGTGATATTTACACACACAAACCCATAAAAAAGGTACCAATGAGAATCACATTTTGAACCAGAATTAGTTTACTTTAGAAAAACTGCATACAGATTCTCAATCCAGGTTTTTCCCAACTAACAGGCTCATGAGAGGCCCCAATCTGCATTACAACAGTACCCTATACTAAAATTAAATTTCACATGTCTATATGCAACTTTGTATGTATGCATACTTGAAGACACTGGTGTCATTTTGGACCACAATATCTACTCCTGTTACTACTCCATGGCATAGGCAATTAGCCACACATACCGTAAAAAGTCAAAGTCAAATGGCCAAAATGTGGTAATGAATTCTAAGAGTTTATGTGACAACAATTTACAACTTCACCACCAACTTAGGCAATTAAACACACATACCGTAAAAAGTCAAATTCAAATGGCCAAAATGTGGTAATGAATTCTAAGAGTTTCTGTGACAACAATTTACAACTTCCCCACCAACTCCTTCCTCCTCCCCCCCCTTCCCCTTCTCTCTCAAGCTGAAAAAGTAAATATGTGGGTGTTCAAGTTTACGAGTACACTTGAAAAATAAAAGAAAAAGAAAAAACTAATGAGCCTAGATTTAAAGGTTCGGGCTTCTTCATGATAAAGAAACATTTACTACATCCTCTCTATCAGCCTTGAGAAAGGTACAACCTCATATACAAACCTAAAGTAACGGGATTTATGAACTTCAAAAAGAAGACTTGTTAAAAAACCCATGCACAACAATTAATAGAAGCACGGACACGACACGACACAGACAAGGCGACACGGCAAATCCAAAAAAATTAGGACACGGACACGGCAGGGACGCGGCGAATAGTATATATATATATATATGATGTAGTACTTTAAAAATTAATGAGTGTTACTATTTTTCATCAACCTCATAATGGAAAAAATACACAAATCATAACTCATCTACTGTAATAGTGTAATGACTGGCCCTTAAATATCTATTTGTTTTGTCTAAAATTGCACATTAACCTTACTAGTTTAAAATTATTATGTACTAACCACATAAGTGCATAAAAGTTGTTAAATAACTTCACGTATTTATACTTTAACCCAATTTTCTTTCAAAAATTATCTTTTAGACCCCCGAAAATAAGACACGCGTGTCCGCGGAGTGTCCGTGCCGTGTCCGAAAATTAAAATAAAAAATAAAAAAATTCCATAAACGTTTTTTGGTATACTCGACACGTGTCGTACACGGATTCTTCGCCCATTTTGGCGTGTCCATGCTTCCTAATTGCTAAGCATATGGAAATCAAGGGGAATTCAGTAAGAAGGTTACCAAATGCCTCAGATGATCTTTAACCAGGTCATTTTCTGTAAGATTAATGGTTTGAAGTTGAGAAGATTCCATCCGATTCACCATTGCCTCAATTTCTGATTTGATGTGAAGGCCAACACTGCACACAACCAGGGGGAAAATTAAATATGTAAGAGTATATAATAACTCTTCTAAATATGTAAGAGTATATAATATGTTCTTCCTGTTCTATACATTACTAATCATCAGATGACATTTCATAAACAGCCAGGATCAAATTATGGTCCTATATAAGCAAACTAATTAAACCAGGCCTTGCTTCTTCTTTTTTCTTTTTCATTTTTTTTTTTTTTTTTTTTTTGGTGGCGGGGGATCGGAATGGATCAGTGAAGTAGTAGTCATATGGAAGATTAAAGCTTCCATTAAAAAGAAATGTTGAAACGTAGATTTCACATCTTTTACATAGAAATGTGGAAAGAGTTCTTACCTGTACAATACAAGAGCTTCCTCCTTATCAGAATTATATCTATATTTGAACTCGGTGATATTCATTGGGCCCACCTGCAACCCAAATAATAGTAAGTTCATACCTTGAACAAGAGTGGATTAAACAAAAAATTGATCATATGTTTCAAATAACATACTAGTTCACAAAATCGTTTAAAGCTGCCAGGCTCCTCTGGCAAGAAAGTTGCAAGCACGGCCTCACGTTGCCTACCAACATCCGCAAGTTCAGTAACCAATCTAAGTCTATCAAAGTTCATGTTTGCCCCACTGGTTATTGCAACAACATTTTCACCCTTCAGGCCATAATACTTGCAGTATGCTTCAGCTCCAGCAAGGGCAAGCGCACCTGCTGGTTCTAGAATGCTCCTTTTCTCTTCAAACATGTCCTGTAACATGAGCCCAAAGAATATAAACACTAAGAAATAGAAATTCCACAAACCAAACGGCAGCCTTAGCCATCAGTTCTTCAATAAAGTATTTGACAGCATTAACATTGTTGCTCACAATTTAAAGAGGTCGGTGCAGCAGATAGGAAAGCAAAATTGAAACTACAAATTTTGAGCTACTGCAAGTGAAAATTTGCAGTACACATGCTAGTAATGTTTTCCATCAAGGATTATCAAAATATTCCAAAGTCATCCCCAATGGTGGTACCAGGAAATTGTTCATGCTTCGTTTGGTGGGAGGGCAGGAGAGGAGAGAAGAGAGAAGTGATGGAACAAGTCTCCATCGTTCGGTAGTAGGGAGAGCTAGGGGGAAGGGAAGGATGAGCCACTCTTGGCCCACCATTTTGCTTCCATCCAAAAGTGGGAGGAAGAGGAGAGAGAAAAATAAAGAGTTGTCTGATAAATTTGAAAAGACGTCCTTACCCTTATTTTAATGTTTTAATTTATATATTTAAGGATTAGTATAATAAAAATAGAATTCATTTACTTCCCTTACATCCAACCAAACAAAAGTAGCAATGAACACCATCTCTTCCCTAGGGATGCCTCATCCATCCCTCCCCCTTTCCTATCCATTCAACTTTCCATCCCTCCAACTAAATGGAGCATTAAAGGGCACAAGCAGCAAATTGTAGTCAAAACAGGAACTAATCCCCCATTTCAACAATACTAAAATTTAAAAGATTCTCAGAATCATGATCCTGGTTGAACTATATGAAATGAAACAAGAAAAGAAAGTCTAATAGAAATAGAGAATATTTATGTATACCCACATCTGAATCAACGATTTGCCCACTATTTCAACTTAAAGAATAAGAAAATATTTGCGGCATTAATTTTAGTCTTCTGTAATAAAACTGTTCCATATTTACTTATCAAAAAAATAAATAAAAAATTAAAATTAAAATTAAAAAACTGTTCCATATTTCAGAACATCCATTTCAAAACCTAAATTGCAACAGTCCTAGTGCTTTCCAGAAACAGTGTAATAACATAAAGACATTACAAAGCCAACCTATATTACCTGTATGTTAGTTAGAAGTCACTGTGGTAGAAAATAATATAAATTAATAAATTATAGTGAGATAAATTCTTCCTCAAAAAAAAATTAGAAATAAAATAAAATAAAAAATAAAAAAACTTGGTAACATAACGCGTAGAGCAAAAGATGTTGTCAATCATAATGATGCCTAACTGAGTGGTAGCAGACATAATAAATGCATGGTAGGATATGCTCTTAATCAATACATAGCTTGATAGAATACCAACAAAAAAAGTAATCGATGGGTAATTTACGGCTTCCGCTTTCTCATGATACATCAAGTTATCAATCATAAGAATTGATAAACCAACAGAAAGAACACACACAATACCGACTTGCAGCAAACAAATCACCATATGGAAGAGAGAAGAATCCATGTGAAAAATAGAATAAAAGAGGCTCACCTTTATTGATGCGCAAATAGCATCACGGCTAACAAGAACTACACCATCTATCAATTCCCTGCATAAACGAAAAGTTTCTTCACCCACCACTTTAACGGCTACACCATCTGCAAAACCTCCCACTTGGTCCAGCATGACTCTCCGACCATGATGTAATGACAATGCCATTGCATTTGCATCAGAGGGCTCCACTCCAATAATCTTTACCTGTGTAAAGCATAACAAAAGTAGCATTCGTCATGAAGTTCTATCATTTGACATGAAAAAGGTTCATAAATGCAAAGTCAAAAGAGTAGAGAGTACAGAGTACATAATGTAGAGAATGAGTTAATTATATGGTTAGAAGACTTGTAAGCACAATACTTATACTGAAAAAGTTTTGTATCAATGTAAGAATCACAACCATTATGAATTACCATAAGCAATGTGGTATAGACATCAAAGAAGTAATCACATATTTTTGTTACAAGTCAATGTCTAAGTCTAAAAGTCTCGTTAAGCTGTAACATCTAGGTTATTATTTCCTAAGTTGATTTACTTGGTCATTGGTGGTTACATTTATTGCATTTAAAATATCATTTACACCTCTGACTTTTGGAATTCTTCTCACCTTCAAACCAATCCATCCCAATTAACTCTTATCTAACGACCATCCACATCATCGAACATATAAAACCCATCTCGATCTACTGTCCTTGAATATTTTAATACAAGAAGCACTCTAAAACTCCCTTTGACACATTGAATTCTAATCAAGCAGTCCTGGTTTTCTCGCTAGTTTGCCTGAGGATTTTCATAATAGCAAAATTTTCATTTTACTGTGATTATTGTTATTGTTCTTGGCTTTCAAATATTCCTATAGTATACTTACACACAAAAACATGTATCCCAAAAGGATCCTTGTCATCCTTTTCAGTATCATTTGAGAGAGACCACTCAACAACTGTAAGGAACTGCAGCAGCTTTTGCTGATGAAGATTGAAAGTAGCATAAAAAAAGTATGATATCTGTGTTTTGGGGGTCCTTAAACTTAAAGTCAATGAACAAAATGTCAAAAAAAATGAGTGTCTTCTATTTTTAGGTTTCTGATAACTAAGTCAAAACCCTACTCATCAATATAAATCAATTAAACAAAGCCTAAAACCCAACTCTTTAATTTGGTGTACTTAATGTTTTATCCTTCACAAAGCAAGTGCAAACTTCGGAGAAAAGGGGTTGTGAAACATATTATCACGTCAAACTAGAGAACTATTGAGTTCTATTTGAAAAAAAATAAAATAAATGCAAAATAAGTAGTGCCTTTAAATGCATTAAGATGGATATTTTCAGGCTGAAAATTTACAAAAACAGGATGCTCATGAGTAGAAATAATAAATTGTAAGTAGGAGTTGCCGGAGCAAGTATATCAATCATCTATTACACAATTTACTTGCATAGAGAGAGAGAGAGAGCGCTAAAACAAAATTAATTTAATTCAGCGCAGCAATCACAAACCTCTGGAGCAACTCTCTTTACATAGGCAGCAATCCCAGCTATAAGCCCACCACCCCCCACAGGCACAAAGATCGCATGCAATGGGCCTTCCTTTTGACGCATGATTTCCATCCCAACTGTCCCCTGGCCCATGATGACATCTGGGTGATCAAAAGGAGGTATAAAGGTCCGACCCTCCTCGTCACCTCGCTTCTTGGCATATGCTTGTGCTTCATCATATGAATCCCCAATAAGAACAACTGTTGCACCCAGTCTCTCAACCGACTTCCACTGAAAAATTACGTGAAAAATTAAATCAGAATCGGAACAGAAAATAAATCAGTGTCGGACCAAAACAAATTTTGATAATAAGATAAAATATATATAGAAGGAACAAAAAAACACAATTTAACCTTGATTTCTGGTGTAGTAACAGGCATGGCAATCACCGCATTGCAACCCAGCCTCTTGGCTGCTAATGCAACCCCTTGAGCATGGTTTCCAGCAGATGAGCAGATAACCCCTCTTTCTAACTGTTCCCTTGGAATTTTGGCCATCATATTGTAGGCACCTCGAAGCTTGAAAGAAAAAACCTGCAAGCAAATTAAAAAGAAAGCAAAAACTAAGTCACACACTTCCCTTTCAATAACAACTACTACAAGATTCCAATTTCTTCCACAACAAAATTTATAACAATTTCAAAGAAAGCATACTTTAGAAACCAAAGATCTAACACAATTTGACATTTTGACCTTTATCCTTAAATTGAAAACTTTGTAGACGAATATAAAAAGTTAAAAGATGAAATAACCCTGCAAAGTACTATCACATCAAGCGATGAGAATGTTCTACTTAATCATACTCGGAGAAACTAAAATTGAAAAAATATTAATAAAATAAAATAATTAAATAAAAAGGAACAAGTAGTGGACAGGAACCTAAAATAAAGTAACTAGCTTCATTCAGACATATAAATTCAGATTCTTGCAGTTACTCCACAGTCTAAATTGAAAACAAGTTATATTAATTTCAACTTATAATTGATAATACCAAGGATTTAAGTAACAGTAATGGCCGTTGTAATGGTAATAGTTGAACCGTAATGGATGGGCTGTAACGAGGGCTATGTAACTGTAAAAGCTGCAGTAGCCGTGAAATTTTTAACCTCACCTAATTCTTTGTTAAACAAACCATTCAAACATGTTTTAGTCCCATGATACCATAAATTTAGGTTCTTTGATGATTTTAATGATTTTTCATTATTGCTTAAAGATGGTTTAATATTGACATATTTGAATGTGTTTTATCAAATAACTTTATTCATTATTGTATTTAAGTCTATTTGTTGATTTAAAGTAAATGAAATATTAAAGTTACAAAAAAGTCTGTGATATTGACATCTTAAATGAATGTCAGCCATAAAAACTTACTAACTTTAATCAACAAATAGACTTAAATACAATAATGAATAAAGTTAATTGATAAAACACATTCAAATATGTCAATATTACATGCATTTTAGTCTAGATGTGGCACAAAGTAATACCCTCCAACAAGAAATCTTCCATCTGAAACAGGAAATTGAGGTCTTGAACAAGAGATATCAAGCTTTAATGGAGCAACTGGAGTCTGTAGGTTTGAACCCAGAATGCATTGGGTCATCGGTAACAGACTTGCAAAATCAGAATTTTAAACTGAGGCAGATATGTGAGCAAGATAGAGATGAGAAAGATGCTCTTTTCAAGAAGTTGGCAGACATGGAGAAACTTGTGGACAAGAATGCCGCTCTGGGGAGCTCCCTGTTGGAAGTGAATGGTAAGTTAGAAGCATCACGAGAAAAGGTTTGAGACATTAAAAGAATCTTGCCAGTTCCTCCACGGAGAAAAATCTGCTCTTGTTGCTGTGAAAGCTGTGCTTGTGTCCCAGTTACAAATCATCACTCAGAATCTGCAGAAGCTCTTGGAGAAAAACACAATCTTGGAGAATTCCCTCTCTGGTGCAAATGTTGAACTCGAAGGTTTGAGGGAAAAATCGAAGAACTTAGAAGAACTCTGTCAGTTGTTTGATAATGAGAAATCTAATCTTCATGCTGAAAGAGGCACCTTGGTTGTTCTGTTGGAAAATGTTGAACAGAGACTAGAAAAGGTGGAAAGAAGATTTACAGAATTAGAAGTAAAATATTTAGGCTTGGAGAAGGAGAAAGAAGCCACACTCTCTCAAGTAGCGAACTAAAGGTTTCTCTAGGTGCAGAGAAACAAGAGCGGGAAAGTTTTACGGTGCTGAGTGAGGGCCGATTGTCTCGTCTGGAAGAAAATGTCCATATTCTGCAAGAAGAAAGTAGGTGGAGGAAGAAAGAATTTGAAGAAGAATTAGATAAAACAGTGAATTCTCAGGTTGAAATCTTCATCTTGAAAAAATTTATACAAGATATGGAAGAAAAGAATGACAATCTACTGTTAGAGTGTCAGAAACATGTAGAGGCATCCAAATTGACGGAGAAACTGATTTCTGAGTTGGAGAGTGAAAATCTTGAGCAGCAGTTGGAAGCAGAACTCTTATTGGATGAAATTGAAAAGCTGAGGATGGGAATATATCAAGTGTTCAGAGCTCTTGAGATCGGTCCATATAATGGGTGTAAAGATAAGATTGAAAATGAACGAATATTTTTGTATCATATTTTAGGGAATATTAAGGATATGAAATATTCTCTTTCAGAATATGAGGATGATATGCAACGGTTGTGGGCTGAGAACTCAGTTCTGGTGACTCTTCTTGATCAGATGAGATTAGAGTGCTTGGAAATTGAGGCAGACAAGAAGATCCTCGATCAGGAGTTTAAAATCAGGACTGAGCAGCTTGTGATGGTGCAAAATGAAAAGTATGGACTTCTAGAGATAAACAGAGGTGAGAGAGGGGGACCAACAGGTGAATATACTTAAGGCAGAAATGGAGAGTCTGTGTGTGAAGCAGGAAAATTTGCAGAGGGCTTATCTGGAACTACAGCAGAAATATTCTAAGGAGCTTGAAGAAAAAAAATCTTTGTTGAAAAATATCTGAGACCTAAAGCAGGGGAAGTGCATGGAAGAAGAGGAAAATGATCTTATTCTTGTGGAAATGTTAGCTCTTGGTAACCTTTCTGTGATTTTCAACAGCTTTGGGACTGAGAAAGCTATGCAACTAAAGGTGCTTATTGAAGATCTGCACAATCTTAATCGGGTTAGCAGTGAATTTGAAAAAGAAGTTGGCATCTTGAGAATGAAGCTGGAAATGAAAGGAACAGAAAATTTACTTCTGAAAGATTCAGTTGAGAAGTTGAGTAAGGAGCTTCATGGGGTGAGAGATATTAATGATCAATTAATGGAAGAACAATCAAGTGGCAAGGATCTCCTGAGGCAGAAGGAATCAGCACTTTTAGAAGCAGAGCAGAAGCTTAAAACTACAGAGGATTTGCAGTCAGAAATGTGCAGAAATGTTGAGGGGCTGAAGAGAGAGAGTGAAGAATCAAAACATATGAGAGGAACTCTAGAAACGCACATTCTTGAACTAGTTGAAGATAATACATTTCAAAATGAGGAAATTGAATCCTACGTGAAGTGAATGAAAATTTGGAGTCTGAAGTAGATATATTGCGGAAAGAAATTGAAGAACACAGAATCAGAGAAGAGAATTTGAATTCAGAGCTGCAAGAGAGATGCAATGAGTTTGAACTCTGGGAAGCTGAGGCTGCAACATTCTGTTTTGATCTTCAGATCTCCGCAGTCCGTGAAGTTCTGTTTAAAAATAAGGTTCATGAGCTTACTGGAGTGTGTCAGAGTCTTGAAGATGAAACTGCTTCAAAAACTGTGGAGATTGAGCAGATGAAAGAAAGAGTTAGCTTCATGGAGAGTGAAATTGGAGGACTGAAGGCCCAGTTATTTGCATATGCTCCTCTTATAGTTTCTCTTAGAGATGACATAACATCTTTTGAGCAAAACATCCTGTCTCAGGTGAATCTTATTGCAGCTGGCAATCAAGAAACAGAGGTAGCGGATTTGGCAGGTCATCTCCAAGGAAAGAGCTGTCAAGCGAAAATCGAAGATCAAAACTCTGTCATCCCAAATGGAATTTCAGATTTGCAGGAGTTACAGACTAGGATTAAAGCAGTTGAAAAGGTGCTGGTGCAAGAAATGGAAATGGTTGCGCGGCAGAAAAGCTTGAACCTCAACATTAAACTAGAACCTGCAATGAAAGAGATCGAAGAGTTGAAAGCTAAATGCAGCTTGGATCAAGAAATAGACAGCCAAAAGAAAGAGAGGGAACTTGGGGACAAGCTCACTGATAATCTTAAGTTGCAGAAATCAACACCCAAAATTTCTGAAGTGAAGAAGGGTAATCTGATGAAAGATATTCCACTTGATCAAGTTTCGGAAGGTTCACTACATAGAATAAGCAGGAGAGGAAATGGTGGGCCAGATGATCAGATGCTCGAGTTATGGGAACTGCTGAGGACTGCAGCACTAATCACACAGTCAGTGCATCACAAAAGCAGGCATGTCAACCTACAGAGGGTGATAATGTGTACCATCAGTTTGAAGATGTGGAGCAGAAGACTGAGGATCCCTCTTCAGAGTTACAAGTGGAGAAGAAGTTGGGTATTGACAATGACAGGTTACAGGTACCCATGAGTGTTCCTGAGCTAAATCTAAATCAAGAATGGAACAAGAGAACGATCTTGGAGAGACTTGCTTCCGAAGCTCAGAAATTGACGAGTCTTCTGACAACAGCACAAGATTTGAGAAGGAAACTTGATACAAACAAGAAGAGCAAAAAGGCCAAGGATCTTGATCTCAAAACAGTGAAGGAACAGTTACAAGAAGTTGAGGGTTCTGCTTTGCAGCTGGTGAATATGAATTGTCAGTGGACGAAAAATATTGAAGATAGTTCCTCATGTTCAGACGTGAACGCCTCAGCAGAGTCAGAAGAGGCTGGGAGTACCCCAAGAAAGAGAGTTTCAAAACAAGCACGGAAAGGGTCTGAAAAGATTGGACGGTTGCAGTTGGAACTTGTGATACCCCTCGGATCCGAGACACGGGTTGATCAGGCCCAGGCCCAAACCCGAGGGAATATCAAACAATTAATATTTAAAACGAACACGGAATACAAAATGAAATTAGAAATAATTAACAGCTGGAAGAAACTATAGTAAAATCCTTTAAAAATAAATACTTAAATCCGGTAATCCAAAACCTTCAATAGTTTCAACAACTCGGGAATCCATCTCTAGTGGACCCCTATTAATAATCCAAACTGAAATGAACAACAACTGAAAGAACATCCAGAAATAAGCTATGGAGAGAAGTCCTACGTCGTCAGAAGAGTAAGTAGTAGTCTTTGCTCAGCAAGATCAAGTCTAAGTCGGGAATTGACGAGTACCTGAAAAATAGAAGTGGGTCAGGCCCACGAACAAGTTCTATCCTACTACACTCCAAGCAGAAACTCGATACGCATATACATCCTAAGCAAATCATCAACAGCTAAAAGTCCGTACATAAATATATCCACACTACAGGACTCTCACTGGACTATAGAGGGGGTCTCAACCTGAATAGAAGGC